GCATGGTTTTTCAATCATTGTCACGGAGTATCAATTTTATTTTTTTTTATTTTTTTTATTTTTATTTTATCTCAAATCAAGCTAGTTAGATTTTTTTTTCTTTTTTTCATACATATTATATTGCTTTATTTTATTTTGAACCTTAATGACATATTTTTTTAAAAAAATTTCAAATATGATAATTTTTCATTCACAAAACTATGTTAAATTGAAAAATATATATTCATGATTTTTTTTACTATAAATAATCATTATACATTAAAAAAAAAGTAATTACTAATATAGGAATATATTTATATAAAGATATGGTTAGATATTTAAGCTTATAAATATATTATTCTACAATTTTTTTCCTATGTAAATATTTTGCGTATGTTTTCTATCAATTGTTAAATAGTTTTAATTTTTAAAAAAAAATATACTAAGGACACACCATAAGATGACATGTGTCATTGTTGGTGTGTCTTTTAGTATATTGTTATTGAATTGATGATTGAACCTTAATGACATTTTTTTTTAAAATTTCAAATATGATAATTTTTCATTCACAAAACTATGTTAAATTGAAAAATATATATTCATGATTTTTTTTACTATAAATAATCATTATACATTAAAAAAAAAGTAATTACTAATATAGGAATATATTTATATAAAGATATGGTTAGATATTTAAGCTTATAAATATATTATTCTACAATTTTTTCCCATGTAAATATTTTGTGTATATTTTCTATCCATTGTTAAATAGTTTTAATTTTTTTAAAAAAAATATACTAAGGACACACCATAAGATGACATGTGTCATTGTTGTTGTGTCTTTTAGTATATTGTTATTGATTGATTGATTTTTTTTTCTTTTTTTGTAATTACAGAACTTTCATCCTATTTTGCAATTAGGTATTATTTTTTATAATTAAATAACAGTGTTAAACTAATGATAAGTATTAAGAATTGAAAATTACCGTGCATGGCACGAGACTTTTATTTTTCAATATTATTTTTATCAGTGCGTTTCTGGTGCGGCTGGCCGCACCATGCGACAGGGTACCAAATCAGCAAATGACAAAGTAACCCCCAGACAAAGTAACCCCAAGACAAAAGTAACCCCTAATTGACTTAGTAACCCCTGACCAATTAACCCCCGACTGATCTAGTAACCCGTGACCTAGTAACCCCAAGTAACCCATAACTGACATAGTAACCCCAAGTAACCCCTGACCTAGTAACCCCAAGTAACCCCTGACTGACCTAGTAACCCCTGACCTAGTAACCCCTAACTGACTTAGTAACCCCCGACCTAGTAACCCCAAAGTAACCCCCGACCTAGTAACCCTTAACTGACCTAGTAACCCCAAGTAACCCCTAACGGACCTAGTAACCCCTGACTGGACCTAGTACTCCTGACTGGATCTAGTAACCCCTTACCCACCACCAACAAAAAACTACCACCAACAACCACCACCAACGAACCACTACCAACCTAAACCACCAACGAAACCAGATTTAGAACCCAAAACCACGAAACCACCACTACCCACCCACGAAACCATCACTATACACGAAAACAATTTGCTTTTCGTTCTTCAATTAAACAAAAAATTAAGTTATAAAATTTAACAACTTACAAGTTATATAATCAACATCTTCAGCAAATAAGCTTGAATTCAACATAAATTTCCAAAAGTAAACCATTAGAAGTTTGAAGAAATTTGGGCTAAAAAAATGACACCATTAATGAAGTTTAAAGAAAAAAGAGGAGATAGGAATAAAATTGGGGGAAAAAGGAAAATGTTGTAGAAGATGGAAGAAGAACAGAGGAGAGAGAAATAAAATTGGGGGGAAAAATGTTGTAGAAGATGGAAGAAGAAAAGAGGAGAGAGAAGAAAAATATATATATATATATATATATATATATATATATATATATACATATATATATATGGCTGGCCGCACCATATGAAACTTTGTGTATTTTTATACTCCACAATACTATCTACATATTTCCAATATTATTTTTATACTCCGCAATCTTTTCAAATTTTTATACTCCACAATATTATCTACATATTTTTCAATATTATTGTTATACTCCACAATCTTTTCAAATTTTCAATATTATTTTTATACTCCACAATACTATCTACATATAGTTTCAATTTACCATTAAATATCAAATTTATGCATGATTGACAATGGCTACGAGTAAAAAAAAATCTATCTATCTATAACTTTATACTAAAGGCGAAATCAGAAATGACACATGTCATCTGGTTAAAAATTTTCCCTCCAAAAGTTTTTATTTTTATTTTTTAACTTTAATTTTTTTTGGCCAAAGCTTCTTAGAGAAGTTTTTTGATACAAACTACTTGATACAGTATTAAGTATAATTCAATAATATTTCACTTCTTATTTGATAAGTATATTCCATTTGTACACATTCAAACAAAGATATTACGAGTGTTTCTTTTTTTTTTTTTTTTTTTTTTATGTACAATATTATGCAATAATAGTTTTCTATCTATAACTTTGTAATGTAATTCATATTTATTTTTATTAGTCATGCATATAGTGATCTTTAGTGTGATTTTTTTTTTTTTTTTTTTTGTAATTATAGAACTTTCATCGTATTTTGCAATTAGGTATTATTTTTTATAATTAAATAATAGTGTTAAATTAATGATAAGTATTAAGTATTGAAAATTACCGTGCATGACATGAGACTTTTATTTTTCAATATTATTTTTATATACGCCACAATACTATCTACATATTTCCAATCTACATATGTTACGGTAACCCCATTTAATCTTCACCGTAACCCCCTATTACTTAATTAATTGCCTTATATGTGATTATGTGAAATGGTCACACCATGTGGCTAGCCACATATAAGACTTTGTGTAAAATTTGATTTTACGGCAATTATATCTTTTTGAAAAAGATAAGCTAGTATATTTGGAAAATATAAGTTTGAAATAAAATCTGTTTTTATAATAAATATATCTTATTATTGACAGAATATATTCTTAACAAAAAGAAATATTTTTTGAAAACTTATTTTTGGAAAATATCTTTTGAACATATCTTTTGATAAAACTTATCTTTTACGAAAAGAATGATTTGGGTATACTATAAATATGCTCATATGTATTCATTCAAAGTTGATGTTGATGAAGTGCAGTGGTCGTGCTTAATGGTTTAATTCTTGAGTGTCCAGCATATTAGTTTTATCTCATGTGTTATTATTCTTCTAATAATTGTTTAGGAATAGGGGAGTAGTTTTTTTTTTTTTTTTTTTTTTTTTTTTTTTTTTTTTTTTTTTGACAGGGGAGTAGTTATTTAATTATTATTATTTTTGTAAAATTCAAATAGTTTGGGAAGGAATTGGAGTTGAAAGACATACTCTACTGTTTCACAAACTGCTCTGTAGAAGTCACAAAAAAGTTCATCAGGTTCCTTAAACTCCTTCTTATTTAACAACTCCTTATCATCATAACATCTTCTTGCTATTTCTTCCAACTTGGACTTTTTCACCTCGTTTCCTACAAATTAAAACATTAATTAGTTTACGTGTTATTTAGCATTATAATTAATAAACATTGTGTTATTGTTATAGGAAAATTTGTCAATTACTACCGCAAGTTAATACTACTTTTGTAAATTACTACCGCAAATTAAAAAAGTTGTGAATTACTACCGCAAAAAATTTTAAGATGTCGCGATTACTACCAAACCCCCAATAAACCCAACTATGACATCATTATATCACTTTAACCCTTGGTTAATATTATTTTTATACTCCACAATACTATTTTTTATAATTAAATCAAACCATCCAACTAAGGGCTTGTTCTCATACGTTTATTTTCAGTTCAATTCATTTCAGCTCCTAATTTCCTTCTATTATAAAATATTCAGTTCAGTTCAGTCAATGAGAACAGACCCTAAGACATGAATGTCAAAATCATCCAATAAAACCGATGGTATCATCCAAACAATTAATCATATAATTAAAAAAAATGTGCATTTCGCCAATGGTTGAATAAGACTCGTCTCACCCAATACTTTGTGTTGTTGCACATGTTTTAGAACTAATTATTTTTTCCACAAATTAAAAAATTTTCGGCATTACTTTACATGGTTACATATTTTGACATAAATAAAATTAACATGACGCAACATTACTTTACATAGTTACATATTTTGACATAAATAAAATTAACATGACACACAATCATGCTCATATTTTGATATAAATAAAATTAACACTACACACTAACGAAGTAACGATACTCACAAGTCACAAACTACACAAGTACACACAAGTGACACAACCTAAGACACTCATTACAGTAAGGAGCCGTTTGGTTGGGGTTAATAATCAAAGGGAAAGGGAATGAATATGTCTCATTCCCTTTGTTGATGTTTGTTTGTCAATTTTTTAATTCCTATTACCCTTTTTTATTTTTGAGTTTACCCAAAATCAGTCCACATTGATTCCCCACCCCCCAGGACTTTTCCACTCCCTTTCCTAAGCCACCACTACACCACCATACATACACCAGCATCTAGTTACCCCCACCGCCCAGCACCTCCTCAGAACTCGCAGCAGCTCCCCACCCTTCGCCGGAATTTGCAGGTCCCCCTACCGTCGTCGGAATTCGCAGCAGGTCCTACCGTCGCCGAAATTCGCCACAGCTTCACCACTTCTCACGAGATTCGCCGCAGCTTTCCCCACTCCTCGCCGGAACTCTCCTAGACCCAGAAATCAAACAGACACAAGCATCTTCGACTTTCCCGGAATTCGCCTAGACCCAGAAATCAAACCGCAAGACACAAGCATCTTTGACTAGACCTAGAAATCGAACCTCAAGACAAAGGGTCCTTGAGATTTCTCGACACTTGGTGGCTAGGGGAAGGGACGACCGGCGATTTTAGAGGGAGGAGATCGTTTTCTAGGGTTTTGCGTGGCGGCGAGGGGTGGGGGAGGTTCGACTACAGGCGGAGAAAAGTGGGGGATGATCGACGACGGGCGACAAGGGGTGGGGGAGGTCGTGGCTGGGCGGTGGAGTGGCTAAAGAAGTGGGAAGATGAGTTGTTGGGTGGGTGGTGGTGATTTTTGTAAACCAAACAACATACCATATGGAAAGAGTTTCATTCCATTCTCTTTCATTCCCTTTGTTCATTCCATTCCGATTACCTCGTGTGAACCAAACGACCCCTAAATCAATTAATGTACTTGTGTTCACATTCTAACCATAATACGAACCTAGTACTCCCATAAAATAAACCAATGGGCTACTAAAAACAGTGGGCGGTTCAATTCACTGAGTCAACTTACCTAACCACCTCACACACTTCGAACCGCCTTTTTAATAGTAAAAACTTCCTCCACAATATCACGTGATAATCACGCAAAAATCTAGCCCCTTAAATACTCAACTAATACTTAGCGCGTAAGATTCACTTTCTTCAAAGTCGCGTCATTTTCTATCATCACGGAAAAAAGGGGAAAAAAATCAATTTGGGGGAAAATTAGAATATCAAAAACCCTAGTGTCAACTTTTCGTAATATTTTCCAATTTCAAGACCCTAAAATTTTTCACAAAACAAAAACCTCTCTTTTTTGGGTTTTCTCTCTCCTCTCTAACCAACTTAACCAAATCTCCCACGAAAAACACTCTCTCACTTTCAATATCTCTAAAGCTTCGGATCATATTTTATTTTTTTTTATAATTTTAACAAAATTTTATTGAATTTATTTGTAATTTATTTGCAAGAAAAAGAAGGTACGCTTCAAACCCTAGAAATTTAATTCAATTTATTTCATTGAATTTGGTTTTATTTGTTATTGTAAGATTATAGGTTGGATTGGTGAATTTTTTATATATTATTATGATGGAATGTGAATTAGGGTTTGATTTGAATTGAATTGGGAAATTTATGATTTTGTGATATTTTATTGTTGATGCATTGGATGAAGAAATAATGGGGAAAGGTAGACCTAGGGCAGTTGAAAGAGGAGGAGGATTGTTAGGGCAAATTTCTGCGGCAAATGGGTCAATGAATATAACCCCTGCACCTGTATATTACCCAACTGAGGAAGATTTTAGGGACCCTTTGGAATTTATATATAAGATTAGGCCTGAGGCTGAGCCTTTTGGGATTTGTAAGATTGTTCCACCTGAGGGGTGGAAACCCCCTTTTGCTTTAGATGTGGAATCGTTTTCGTTCCCGACCAAGACTCAGGCTATTCATCAATTGCAGGCGAGGCCTGCTTCGTGCGATTCCAAGACTTTTGAGTTGGAATATAATAGGTTTCTTGAGACCCATTGTGGGGGTCGTAAGCCTAGGAGGAAGGTTGTTTTTGAAGGGGAGGAGTTAGATTTGTGTAAGGTTTTTAATGCTGTGAAGCGGTTTGGTGGGTATGATAAGGTTGCCAAGGAGAAGAAGTGGGGAGAGGTATTTAGGTTTGTGAGGCCTAAGAGCAAGATCTCTGAGTGTGCCAAGCATGTTTTAGGTCAGTTGTACCTAGAACATTTGTATGATTATGAGGAGTATTACAGTGACTTGAATAAGGGGAAATTAAAAGGTTGTAAGCGAGGGATAGATAATAATGATAGGAAAAGGGATCAGAAGTCAGATCTGGATAGCTTAAAGAAGAAACGGAAAAATGATGCTGGGGATGCTGTTAAAGTCTCCAAACCACAGAAGGAAGAGGAGCGTGACCAGATATGTGAACAATGTAAAAGTGGGTTGCATGGAGAGGTTATGCTTCTATGTGATAGATGTAATAAGGGATGGCATATTTATTGCCTATCACCTCCTTTGGAAGCAATTCCACCAGGCAATTGGTATTGTCTTGAATGCCTGAATTCTGATGAAGATAGTTTTGGTTTCGTTCCTGGAAAATGTTTATCTTTGGAAGCTTTTAGAAAGGTAGCTGATCGTACCAAGAAAAAATGGTTTGGATCTGCATCATGTTCACGCATGCAGTTAGAAAAAAAGTTTTGGGAAATTGTAGGGGGGTCATTAGGTGAGGTTGAAGTCATGTACGGTAGCGATTTGGATACATCGATATACGGAAGTGGATTTCCTCGCTCAAATGACAAAAAACCAGAGTCAGTTGATGCTGAAGTGTGGAATAAATACTGTAATAGTCCTTGGAATCTGAACAACTTGCCAAAGTTGAAGGGATCAATGCTTCGGGCAGTTCATCACAGTATTGCTGGTGTTATGGTACCCTGGCTATATATTGGCATGCTCTTTTCTGCATTCTGTTGGCACTTTGAAGACCACTGTTTCTATTCAATGAATTATCATCACTGGTACGCGGCTTAATACCATTTATTATTTATTGTTTCTTGATGATTTTCCCCCTTAAATTTTGATTATAAGTGCTCGCCTTTTGTATTTGTTAAAGATATTAATACCTAAATAGCTAGCTAAAGTTTTCTTGCTTGGAAGGTATGGCTTTTTATTATGAGTGGCAAAAACTTTGAGCATTGATAAGGAGTTGTACTAAGCTTTAAATGTAGGGAATGAACTGGCTCTGCTCTGTCTTGCAGCTTGATATCAGGGCATGTAATTTCTTAGCATTTTTGTTATGATTATAGTGAAGATTACTTTTGACCTTTATAACCGTGACTAAGATACATAGACTAGAATATGAAAATAGGAATATTTTTCCTAACGGTGTGTTTGGATTGAAGGAAATGGAGGGAAAGGAAGTGAAGAGAAATGGAGAGATGGAGTATCTTTCATTTGGATAGCAAATGAGGAAGGGAGGAATTGTAGGGGAGAGAAATGGAATGATTAAATTGTAGGAAATTGATCCCTCCAACAATGGAGAGATTTGGAAGGAAAACTCACCATTCTTCCCTCCCCTTCCTTTCCCTCCCCTCCTCTTCTCCTCCCTCCCCTTCTTTTCCATCCCCTTTCTTTATCCAAACAAACTGTTAGTGTTTGTGTGTGTATTTGTAAGAATGTTGTTTTCTTCTTATGATGCTCAGACTCCCTAGTTTTTCATATTGCTTATGGAAAATTATTGGGTTTAACTTTGAACCATGATAAGAAAGAGGAAAGAGTTGTTTTCAGGAAACTAGAAATTTAGTTGAATTAAAATGTTTACCTCCTTAAATAATGTCCTTGAATGATTTGGAGAAGAAGATTTTCTTGTTCTTTTGGAAATTTCGAGTTTTGAAAGATTGCATCATTTCATGTCAGATCTGGGGATCACATTAATATGCGTTGGTTTATGAGGAAAGAAAATAGAATGTTAGGGTCTTTGGTCCATGACTCCATGAGCGAGGCAATCTTACTGTGGTGCTATTGTCGCTGCCTGGGTGTGGAGGCAGGTCATCTACTTGCAGGAAGAAAATGGACATCTGTGATATACTTCTTTTTTTATTTTTTAGTTTCTGAAATGTATAATACTAAAGTTGAAGATCTACTAGCAAAATTTGATGGAGAGGGGAAGACTTATCGAAGAGATATGTTGCCAATGGGATCTTATCCTTTAGCTTGTTTCGAATTGTTTGTCAGATGAAAGCTAAGTAGGTTGTATTTTTTAGAAGAAACTGAATAATGATATAAAAACTGGAAAAAAGAATCTTACTGAGGAAGTTCCTTGTCCATATCCTAAATTGTGTCTAATTAAAAAGTACTCTATATCATCATTATGAAGATTTCTCATGTCGGACACTCATGTATCAATACCCTGAACCCAACTCCCATATGCGAGTCTGAGCATCACAGTGTGGGAGGTGAGGTGGTTCGTCCATTGGGTTAATGAAGAAGCATACACATTTATCATCCACCGTTTCTTGGTTTATAAAGAGTTTTTTTTATTGTTTTGGTTTGACTCCCTTACTATGAGGGTTTGCGATTTGGTAGACTACAAGCGTGAATAATTTGGTATTGTTTTTATGGTTCATTTTCTTTTCTTTTAAAATTTATCATTTTGTCATAAATTGATATTGAGCTTGTTGCTTTTTATGCAAAATCTGCATACTTGATATCAAAGCTTGCATGAAAATTGAGCACTTGTTTACTGTATGACCATGATTGTAGACTGTGTTTTTTTTTCTTCATGGAACTTGGTTTGCATAAAATTTGTTAAATCATCTTATATTCCACCTGCTTTCAGGGGAGAGCCTAAATGCTGGTACAGCGTTCCTGGTAGTGAAGCCTCTGCATTTGAGAAGGTTTGTGAATAATCTTTATGTCAAATTGAATATCTTGTTCATCCTGTAATGATCACTGGAAGATATTAGTGATATACTCTGTGGGGCATGACGAGCATGTGGTATTAAAATGAAATATTTGTCTTGAAATTTACTGTTTAGGCTAGAATCTGCATAATATGTTCAATAGCTCTTAACTATTGATAGATTGTCTTGTCCTCATCTTTGTTGCTTTTTGATAGCTGGTTTGATTATGGCCGCCTACATTTCTGTGTCCTCAGTTATCATGACAATTAAAAATTTATGTTGTTGGAGTAAAGGGATCATTGAATTTCCCTTCAGAGTGTTTATTGACTATCAAAAACCTAAAACTATTGCAAAATTATGTTGTATCATCAGTGCGTTTACTGTCTTCCTTGAGTTGTATATGCTGAGGCCTTCTGGTAAAATTATTTGTTTCCAATTAAAAAATATTTGTATCATGTTGAAATATGTCTAAACTAGCAATATTTACCACCTTCAGGTTATGCGCAGCTGCCTTCCTGATCTCTTTGATGCCCAACCAGATTTGCTTTTCCAGCTTGTTACGATGTTGAACCCCTCCGTTTTAGAAGAAAATGGTGTTCCTGTTTATACTGTTCTGCAGGTATAATTTTATGAGAGATGAGCTGTCCTATTAGTTATCCATACTATTTACATCTACTGTTTGCTATGTGCTGATGAGATAAAGAACTACTGATAATTTCAAACCTTGTGTAAAAAAAAAAAGATAATTTCAAACCTACTAAAAAATAATTATCAAGCTTTCCTATTGATGCATTCTTGTATTCTGTTGGATGCTGTTATTTCTGCTCTGAAATGCTGTATTATTTTGTTAGATATTTTAAATGTAGATATATTTTTAATTTTCTTTTTGTCTTTTATCTGTATTGTTCATGAGAATGATGGTAACACAAATATAATTTTCAGAATGGAATTATGGGTCTGAAGGAATTATGATAGTTAGTCTGAAGGAATTATGATAGTTAGGGTTTTAAATATTGGCTGGCACTCAATGTCTTGGCTATTATGTATAGTTTAGCTTGCTGGATCCATATTTACTCATTTGGAAAGAATGGTCGTGTGCGAGTTGTCACCTATATACACAATTGCTCAATATTCAATGACTTGGCTTATTTAAACTTTTGTGATGATTATTGTAAACCTTTATTGGTGTCATATTGTTTATGGTTCTGATTATATTTGTTTGAGCTTGCTTAATCTTCATCACTTGAATTACTTAGATTATTTCTTGTATATTGTCTTTTTTTTCAATGGCTTGCTTATGCTGTAAACTGCCTTTTTCTTTTTCCTTGGGTGTTTCCTCTCTGCAAGGAGCCAGGCAACTTTGTGATTACATTTCCTAGATCTTATCATGGAGGTTTCAATCTTGGTAAGCAATTACGGTAGAATATACATGATTAAACTGTAGTCTTTTTTCTTTTATATTGGGTTGATTTAAGCTTCCAAAATGTTGAGTCATTTGATATTTCAGGCTTGAACTGTGCTGAGGCTGTTAATTTTGCTCCTGCTGATTGGTTACCTCATGGAGGGTTTGGATCAGAACTCTATCAACTGTATCATAAGCCTGCTGTACTTTCTCATGAGGAGCTGCTTTGCGTGGCTGTTAAGGTTGGCTGACTTAAATGAACTCTATAAATTATTTTGCCCAATTTATATATATATATATATATATATATATATATATATATAGATATATATATGTATATATATGTATATATATGTATATATATATACATATATATATATATATATATATATATATATATATATATATATATATATATATATATATATATATATATATATATATATATATATATATATATATATATATATATATATGGTCTGTATGGTGGACCACTCACTAGGTTTATTTTTTATTTATTTTTATTTTTAATTTTATGGTTTGGAACATCTTGTTACTTCAAGAGGGTCCTTTTGTTGACTATCTTGTTTTCAACAATATAGGAGTATATGAAGGTTGAGTTTTGTGTAATTAAGTCAGTATTTGTCATTTTTCTCTCTCTTGATAAGTTCTTTTCTTGTCAAGAGCAGTTTACCTTTGCCACCTGCAATCCATGTTTCGCTGTGTTTGTTTTTTGGTTAATAATTGGAATTTCTTTACAAACATATTTCTCATAGCTATACCGGGCCTGTCATTTCTGAGAACATGATTGCTAATAATTCTGTGTATATACTAAGGAAATGTGACTCTGGTGCTTGTGTTTGGCACAGAAGTGTTTAATTTTCTGACATGATGAGTGAAAATATGTTCTTGGTATTAAATAATATATGTCAGATTGTTGAGGATCTGATACACATCCTTGAGTTGAAATGAAAAGTCGGGGGTGATCTTAAGATGCCAATTTTTTCTTTCCACTTTTATTGACTTCTACTTGTTAGCTCTGTTGTGTGTGTGTGGATGTGTTTTCCTGGTTCTTTTAATTATTTTGGTGCTATGAACAGCTTGGTTGTGATGCCAAAGTAGCACCTTACATGAATAAGGAGTTACTGAGGGTCTTTACAAAAGAGAAGAATGGGAGGGAGCAGCTTTGGAAAAAGGGCCTTGTCAAAACATCTGTTATGTCACCCAGAAAACATCCTGAGTATGTTGGCACTGAGGAGGTATAGTGTCCTCATTTGGAAATCATTTTTATTTTTCTCTTTATCTGATTTTATTATAAAAATCAATTATGGTAATTGATAATGTGATCTATGTTGTTGCAGGATCCCACTTGCATAATCTGCCAGCAGTATTTGTATCTTTCAGCTGTTGTCTGTCGCTGTAGACCATCCACTTTTGTGTGTTTAGAGGTACTTTAAATCTTGATACTCTTGGTAGTACCTTTTATTTAATATTGGCTGTTATACTTGTAAAAAATATACAGTACTACCTCTGTTGCTAAAGAGCATGGGAAGATTAACTTTGTCTTCTCTTGCACATGTTCTTTGAACTTTCGTTGCTTATATATGACTTGGAATTTCTTGGTTTCTTTTTTATATTGATAATTGCGGTCGTGGACTGGTCTGATTACCTTATTATCACTAATGGCATATTCTTTTGGCTTTTTTTTTTTTTTTTTTTTTTTTTTTTTGGTTGGGTTTTAGCATGGAATACATTAATACGGATGCATATATTTGGCTCTTGTATTTATGATGCGGTTTATAGTAACTGGAGACTTGTTGTAAACTTATCTTGAATGTACTATTTGAAGAACCTGGATTGTTTGTTTGTCTTGCAGCACTGGGAACGCCTTTGTGAATGTAATCCAAGGAGATGCCGCCTCCGATATCGCCACTCTCTTGCAGAATTAAACGAGTTGTTAGTCATAACAAAGAATGTAATTTCTGGCTCAGAAGACAATGGACAAGGAAAGGATTTTGCAGAACTGAATACATGCTCCACTGACTCTGGCACTTTGACGAAGAAGGTTATCATCTGCAAATTGCTTGGTTATTTTTTTGAATTGGATTGGTCGTTGGGAAACACAACTTTACTGCTGTTTGGGGATGAAGGAAATCGAACGAACTGTATCCTTTTAGTTTTGGGATTGCATGAGATGCCTGATTTTAGTTGTATTATGAACCTAAAATTAGTCATTTATAAAAGTCATTTGTAAACTGAAAACAAAATGAGCTACTTTTCTGTTTTTCAATTATTTGTTTTTAATTTATGTTATTAATTTAAGATTCACAGCAATTACAATTAATAAAAATTCATTTTAGTAGGATGCATTATTGTTGTGGTGTTGTGCAAATAGAAATGAGAACCACCAACTACTTTATGTTTAATTTATTGGTGGATTTTAGGATATTATTCTTAATAGAGTTGGGTGTTTGTTTAATTTGTGTGAACGCAAAGTGTACAAGATCATAGGAAACCTTGGCCATCATGTTTTTACCTCCTATATCTGCCTATTTTCCCTGGTTTTGTCAAATATTGGTTTAAAATAAGAGAATATGTGATAGCTTATTTTTCATATTTATGTTTTCAGGTTCTTTGTTATAAATTTAGTATGATTTACTAAGATGATATTTTGTTGAAATCCCTTTCATAAATTTGGAGATTCTATTGCTGGGTTTTTATTTTTTACCTTCATAATCAACTCAATTCAAGTTTCTTTACGGCTATTAGTTAGTTTATTAATTTTTCAAGATGATAGGCTCTTACTTCTGAGCTTCTTTTTCTGATAGTATGATGACATCTTTGTACATCTGTAGAATGGGCCATTGAATATGAGGTTCCATTTCGATTCTATTGTGTATCCCAATGAAGTTAGTTTCCCATATTGATCATTTTCTACTTCTATAGGTGAAGGGTAAACAAATATCTCTTGCTCAACTTGCTGAAGATTGGTTGTTGAATTCTTGTAAGATATCTAAGCTCCCCTTCTCCTCAAGTGCTTATAGGAGTGCATTGAAGGAAGCACAACAGTTTCTTTGGGCTGGTCCTGAAATGGATCCGGTAAGATTTATCTATATATTTGGTTTACCTTGTACAAAATTGAGACACATTATATTGGTGAAATCTTGCATATGGAAAGACAATTTGGTAATCAACATATAGATAAATTGATAAATGACAAGTCAAATTTTGTGTGTTTTCCCCCCTGCTATTACTCTGTTACCAGAAGGTTCTTAACTGAATTAGATGAGCGATTTTATGATGTGAGCCTGTGAGTCTTTTTGAAGGTCGATGTGCTTAGTTGATTATGTGTCAAAAGGCATGTTAACATTGAGTTTCTATTTTGATTGTATTGTTATTGTCTTACACTCTTACTTACATGTGTGCTTTTATTAGATTAAGCAATGGTGCATCTTTGTCTCCAATCATCGTAAAGTTGGAATTTGGAATTCTATTTTCATTCACAATGTTGCGTTGTGTTTTTTTTGTAGGGGACTTTTATTTTATTAACTACAGAATATAGTATTTGATGTACAATTTAATTATTAGGTACGAGATGTGGAAAAGAATTTGGTTCAAGCCAAGGACTGGGCAGAGGGCATAAGAAAGTCTCTTTCTGCTGTTGAGAGCTGGTCTAAAAATGGTGATAGTGATATGGATAAAGTTCATCTTGAGTATGTCAACAACTTGTTGGGACATGATCCTGTGCCTTGTAATGAGCCTGGGCTTTTCAAACTGAAGGTTGACATAATGTTGCTGCTTACATTTGCTATTAGCCCTTATGGTCCCTATTTGGAATTTTTAATTGTTGAGATCCTTTGTTTCAGGAGTATGCTGATGCAGCTAGGCTGTTGGTTCAAGATATTAACAATGCTCTTTCAGAGCTAACATTTTCTGTATGAGCTAGCGTCTTATTTATTTTTGTGCAAGATATAAAACGACTTCTGTCCTTTTTTTCCCCTCTTAAGGATAGTTTTCTTTCATCTTGTTTACTAGATGGATGATCTGGAGAACCTGCTGAACCAAACTTTAAGCTTCCCAATCTACATTAAAGAAAGTGAAAAGTTGGCAAAGAAGATTTCATCTCTGAAGGTGTGTGCATTTTGCATATTGGTTTGTCTTTTGCTTCAGGTGTTGTCTGACCTTGTGTAGTTTTGGCATTTATTTTTTTGGTATACGAGTAATTTTTCCGTGTTGATGAAAGCTGTGTCTTTTCACCCTTGTGCCTTGTCCCGATAACTTGTTAATATGCGTACAAATGCTCTAGTGTCTTTTTTTGTATTTTGATTTGGCTTTTGTTCTGTTTACACGCTATGATTTCTTAGTTGTCAAAAAGATTAATCAAAGAGAATTTGAAGCATGTATTATGAAACGTTTTTTTTTTTGTTTTTTTTTTCCTATGCAGAGTCACAGCTCCTTTGGACTCGATTGTTTCTTTTAATAACTGCTCTGAAATTGCTATCAATTTTTTAATGTTTGTCTTTGTTATCTAGGGAATCAGATGCGTAGGGTTTTTTGAACAGATGTAAATAAAACAAAAGCACTTCTCTTTTCAATGTGTTGGGTTTTGTTTGGAGTGTATATTGCAGAAGATTTGCAAATTATTTGTTTTAGCTTGATGTTTATTGTACTGGAGTCTGATCTTTTGCTTCACATAATTGAAGTCTTCTAATTGTTATTCGCGAAGTTATATTGACTTTTTTTCCTGTGTAAATGTTAAGGTGTGGCTTGATAATGTAAAAAAATGTGTTTTTGAGACCAGTCCTGCTGCAATTGATTTTGATTTCCTTCGACATTTGAAAACAGAGGTATAGCAGACTTTCTATGTCTATGTAATGCTTCATTTTCGAATTTTGTTTGATTGCTTCTCATGTTTGTTAGCTTTTTATGAAATAGATGTCAGAGCTGCGGTTAAATGTTCCAGAAAATGAAATGCTTTTGGAGTTAATTGGGCAAGCTGAACTTTGCCAGGATCACTGCAATGAAATGCTGAAAGGTTCCATAGCTTTGGAGGTCTGTATTGAAACTTTCATTATAGAGAGCAATATTTGAAAAGTGTTGATATTTTTTTGCAAAATTTTAATGCTGTTGCCTAGACACCCACCCACATCACTGAGCTGAATTCAATTCTTATTGCTTGGCTCTATCAAAAATTTCTTCCTCTGAAATGGTTGCTGTGTTTTCTATGCAGAAACTTGAGATTCTTGTTCAGGAGTTTGGGGATTTTGTGGTCAACATTCCAGAGTTAAAGATACTACAACAATATCACAGTGATACTGTTTCTTGGATTTCTCGTTTCAATAATATACTACTAAACATTAATAAACGTGAAGATCAAGAAAATGTCGTGGAAGAATTAAGATGCATTCAGAGAGATGGATCAGAATTGAGAGTTCAAGGTTGGCTTTCTGACCTTGAACTTTGAGCTCCTATTACCTTTTTTCCCTCTCTCTTTCTCCTGCTATATTGAATTTCAGATTGCAGTTGGTAAATATCCAAATATGCTACTTGCCCCCTGACATTTGTTTGTTTGTTTGTTTTTTTTTTTCTTAAGTTGATGAATTGGCTCTTGTTGATGCTGAGCTAAGTAAGGCATGTTGCCGAGAAAAAGCACTAAAGGTATTGGAGAGGGGACGTTCATATTTCAAGCTTGCTATTAAACTTACTACCTTTGTTTTCATTGAAATATTGAATGCCAGCTTGGGTGAAAGTGAAACTTTTGTTGCATAATGTTAACTAAAGTTTAACCTTTTGCCTTTCCCTCAAGTTGTTCCATTACTTGCATTCTAGATAATATTCTTGTTGCTGATCATGTGAATTGATATTGATGTAATGTAATTATATTATTACAGGTCCATAAATCTAAAATGAGGATAGATTTCGTTCAACAAGTGCTATCTGAGGCTGCAGTGTATGATTTCCTGGCCCTTATGCTTCTTTATATAGGGCTGCTTTCCTGTTATCTCTTTACACTGCTGTCTAATTTTTAATTTTTTTTTTCTTCTCTTTTTGTATGTTTCAACTTATGAGCTTTGTTTTTTCTTCTTCCAGATTACAGATTGACAGGGAAGAATTGTTTGTTTCTCTTTATAATATGCGTTCAGCTGCTATTTCGTGGGAAGATAGAGCAACTGAGATCCTAGCAGATGAGTCAACGTTGGAGGACTTTGAGGATGCTATAAGGTTCCTGTTATCCCATTTTCTATCTAATTGTGGAGCTAGTAGTATGCATTGATTATTTTTTTTTTTTTTTTTTTGGATATTACAGGACCTCTGAGGATATATATGTAATCCTACCTTCCCTTCCTGCTATCAAGGAAGCTGTATCTGCTGCTAATTCCTGGATAAAAAGTTCGAGGCCTTTTTTGCAGTCTGCTGCTCTAATGACATCTGCTTCAACTGGCTTGTTAGCGTTTGAAAATTTGAAGGTTAGTTTTATGTCTTCCTTGCTTTTGTTTTTTCATGACCTCTTATGTAATGCAATTTTATTCTTGGTCACCATTGCAGGAGCTAGTTTGTCAGTCAAAGTGTCTGAATGTAAAATTAGAAGAAAAAATGTTGATTGAAACTGTTTTGAAGAATTGTGAGGAGTGGAGATGCTGTGCTTGCTCTTCTTTAAAGGATGTAGAGGAAATATTTGATAGGAAGGATATTTTTAACGGACTCCATGGTGATGTTATTGTTGATATTGAGCAACTAAGATCAAAGGTTGAAAATGTTGCAGACGCTGGTCAGTCTCTGGGGTTTGACTTTCCTGAAATTTCTATATTGTGGAGTGCTGCTTCAACCTTGAAATGGTGCTCTAAGGTCCTAATGTTTCGCTTTGAACTTCCTTCAATTGAGGTAATCTTGTAGGGCTTGCATTTTTCTATAAGAACAATGAAATAGGCTTTAGTTGGCTTGAACTCTGTGTTCTTGTTTGTATGGTATTCTTTTAAAATGACTTACTGTATTGGTTATTCATATAAAAGTTATCCTTCAACATATTATGCAGGATGTTGACAACTTGATTAAAGAGATGAAAGACCTTCCAACTGAATATGATGGTGCTTTTGTTTTAACCTCATTGGTTGATGCAGCTTCTTGGCTCAGTAGAGCCTCTGAAGTTCTATCAGCTTCAAGCAGTGCAAGTATAAGAAGATTCCACTTGACTGATGCTGATGATATCCTAATGAAATCTCAGGTGTTTTATAATTGCTATGTTGATAAAAGTTGAAACCATTTAGTTGTTGACTTGTTGGTTATTTATTGTACTAGGGTTTTTGTGAATTGAGCTTGCTCTGTTTCAAATATACAGGATATGCTGGTCTCTTTTCCGACAATGATTGTTCAACTTGAGCAGGCAATTGAAAAGCACAAGTGAGTTTTGAAATTAAAACTTTTAATTAGTCCAGTATCTGCATCTCCTTTTTTTTTTTCTTACTTATATATATATATAAAAAAATTTATTCACTGTATCTTTGTCTCTTACCTCCACTAACCTGTATTTGATACTTTGTTTCACGTTGAAAAGGGTTATTTAATCTTTGCTTCATTGCAGAAAGCCTTATTGTATTTTTCATTTGCCATATGCTTGCTTTCTTATTTACCTTTTCGGCTTCATAGCACATACTATTGGCCTTATGCTTCTTATTCCGTTTCTTGTTGAAAAAGAATTTTCTTTCGTTTTTTATGGTTCCTTTTTAAAGTTAATTTAAGGGTTGGTCTATTGCAAATATGTATTTACAAAATACTAAGAATTTGGGGTACACGAGAGGCTGAAGTGTTTTTTTTTTTTTTTTTTTTTTTGGGGGGGGGGGGGGTGTTTGGTGGTTGCCTATAACCTGGAAGTGAGATTAACAAGCACTAGTTCTCCTAAATATAGTTATCTGGTACATGTTCTTTCAATTATTATCTTCTTGTAGGAGTAAATTTATATAACAAGGTTGACTATATCTCCTTAACAAGGTCGACTATATCTCCTTAACAAGGTCGACTATATCTCCTTAAAAAGGTCAACTGCTCCTGGGAAGATAATCAATCAGTTTTTCTTCTTCATGGCTTACCTATTTTTTTTATTTATTATCTTATAATTTTTTTAAAATGTGATTTCAATTGTATAAGAAATGTACCTTCTATCAGCACTATATCCTTTGATCAGTATTAATTTGCAAATTGCAATTACTTCATAAATTTAGATTGTCACTTTTTCTTAGGGCTTGCTGCTCCAGTGCTCCACAATTCTAGTATTTGATTAATTAATGTAACATTTCCAAGTGCTTATAGTGGCCTATAAAAATTGGTACTTATCATATGATTAATAATTGTTGATACTTTCACACCAGCATATGGGCTTCTGTATTTTGATAGAACCAACTGTTGAAGACTCAGATATATCATTGTTAAGCACAAATTGATCTTTTAGTTTTCAACTTGCTGTTATGCTGTAAGATACAGATATGGCTTTTGGTCACATTTTTTGAAAGTTTTCGTAGTAGTCTGATTTTGGGTAATAAATGTTTTTGACTAGTTTGCTTTCTTAGTTTCCTTCCATTTAATTTTCTTTCCTCTTTTACTTGACTGGCTCGTGTTATGAACTTATGACGTTCTTGCTTTCCACTTATCTTCATCCATCTGATAAATGTTATGCTGGTACCTTTTGAGTGTAGGTCATGGCAAGAAGATGTTCGAGCGTTCTTCAGTGATGATTCTAGTGAGCGGTGTTGGTCCTCACTGTTAGAATTAAAGGTGAACACTGGATGCATTTCCGTAAAGCTGCATCTTGTTTGGAGGGAGAGAGTATATCCTGGAATATTTTATATGAATTCCTAAATATAATTTACCTATATATTTTAAATAGTATTATAATGGACAATGTTAATCTTGAAAATAAAGGTGATCACTAATTTCTGCTGCAAATTTCTCTTCTGTGTTTGGAATTGGAAGTACAGCTTCTTGGTGGATTAATTATCTGGATAGTTTTAGCTTTACCGTAGTCAACTTAAATCTCTCATATGAAAGTTTCCTCTTGTCAAAGAGAAATCATACTGTATTATACATGTCCTTTCTTTGCTGCTGGTTTCTTATTTCAATTTGGTCAATTCCGATTAAGAGGAAAAAGAGAGAAACAACTACCCTTATTATATAATTCTCTGTTTCATAGATCTTAGTTTTTAAGTAAGGTTGAGATTGATTCTTGTCTTATGTTTTTACTCCAAACAATATCTTCTATTAGTGTGAAAATGGATAAAGAAAAGTCAATTGTGTATTTTTCTACATGGTATATCTAAGGGTTGCTGATTCATCTATGTGGAGGATTGCTTATCTAATTCAACAAGTGATTTTAGAAATCTGTTTCTGTTTTATTTACTTGCATGGATTGGTAAAGCTATCATTTTTTACGCCTTTTGCTTTTTTTATTTGATCTAATTTTTTCCTGTTGTCTCAGGAACTAGGAAAGGATGCTTTTAACTGTCCAGAGCTAGATATGGTCATGTCTGAGTTTGACAGTATAGGGAATTGGAAGCAACAAGGAGGGGAGGTGGTTGGGTGTTCAGCTGGAGATGTGACAACATTATTAAGTTCCCTTTTGAAGGTAATTACAATATTTCAGAATTCCACCTTTTTCTTTGTTTGAGAGAGAACTTTAGTCTTCGTGACTATGGCTGTTTATTGTAAATTCTAAGTTTAGTTTATTATATGTTCAGATCAAACAGTCATTACATAGATCTCTGTATATCTATGAGAAGTCAACTTGCTGGAAAGTGAGATACTTTTGCATTGGATGCTCCAGTAACTCTGATGATGAAGAGTTTATCACCTGTTCAACATGTAAGGACTGGTAAGATACTACTTTTGGTGTATATGCTAGAAGCTAATTCAAGTTTGGCAATGAGAGGGTTTGACCAGTTTACGCCTAGATTCACAGAGTTTACATTTCCTTGGATATTTTGTAGTTTTCCTGTTTCTTTTATGGGTATTCTGGGAAATAGGTGAAGATATGCTTTTGTTTATTTTTATGATGGACTAACTAATTAAAGGTTTTTAAAGTACATCCGGTTGCCTGCTTGCATTTGTTGTGATTAATGTGTAAATCCTAAAAGAGCAACGGTAGTCATGTATGTGAATGAAGTTTTAAGTGTATGTATCTATGTGTTTCTGAGAAAGAATTGTTCTTTTAATGAGCAGCTATCATCTTAGATGCTTGATTCCAAAGTCAGTGGCTTGTGACAATTCGAAAGTATATACCTGCCCTTATTGTGCATTGGTTGATAGTGGCTCAATATGCCGGAGTAAAGATAGTCCTTTGGTAAGCGCTTGCTTTAAAACATTCCATGGAATAATTTGTACATTTGTGAATATATTTGTTATGTATTGATTATTGTGCAGAGATATAAAGGGAAGCGTCCAGAATTGGAGAAGCTTGTTGAGCTGTCTTCTGATGCCAAGAAGTTTACTACAAGGTAATGAGTCGGCAGCATCATACAGCTGTGTCAGATTATTTAGTTTATGTTTTTTGAAAATTTGAATGCAAGGAAACTCTTGTTACAAGCCTGGCTATTGTCAAGACCTGGATTGGTGCCTGCTTTGTTAGTATAAATTTTGTCCAGTTTGAGGGAAAGCGGAAAAATATTGGAAATATACATGTGAATGGTTCAGTTTATGGCTGGTCTTCTCATAGTGATCCCAACTATTGGTTATTCCATACTAATGTTTCAACTATGGGGGGTGTATTTTCAATATAACCCTGTGACCTTAGAAAATTTAGTTCTGCCAAATGATGTGTCAAGCTTTAGTTGATGACAAGACAGGGGAGGGAGGTAGACAGCAAGGAGAAGTAATTGAATAGTTGGATGCATAAGCATATGTGCTGATACCTGTAGATGATGTTGAGGCAAATGGAAGCACAGAAATACTCAGAGATGCATTTAATAGTGGAAGTTTTCATTGGTCGTTGCCCTTTCTCTCGTCTCCTGACTACATACAAACATAATTTGCTCATTTGTCAATGTTGGTTGACTTTATTTTTTTGCTCCATTACGGTTTGTGATATGTCTGATCTGTTTTGAATTTATTGGACCATTGCATCTGTAATTTCACAGGCTTGAAGAATATGATGTATTGCAAGAGATTCTCGATCAAGCTCTTGCATGCAGAGGCTGCTTGTCAGAAATAGTGGATTCTTCATTGTCTTTCTTCGACAAAGATGTATCATCCATCTCTGGGAAACTGACAATTGCTTTGAAGGTTAACTCCGTTTAACTGTTCTTTAGTTATCTTGTAGCTGTTGGTTCTCACTCTACTTGCCGGTTGTTTGCAGGCTCTAGATGTGGCTGGGGTATGTGATTCGCTTGCTATCCAGAAGTTTGATCAGGCACTTGCACGAAATTCATGGAGAATCAGAGCTTCTAGGTTGATCGAGGGTTCACAGAAACCTGTTATGCAACAGCTTCAGCGCCATTTGAAAGAGGTGTGTTCAAGTTATATCTGTTGCTAGCCTTTTCCCTTAATTGTTCCCTTTCATTGAATATAATAGATGACATTCATTTTGTTGTCTAGTGGTACCTTTATTTAAATGTTACGAAGTACAATTTTACTTTATTCGTGTTTCCATTTCCCTGATTAAGTTTTTGATCTTAATGAATGTTTATTATCTCAGGGCTTTGCTATAAAAGTACCTTTAGAAGATTACTTCAAGCAGAAGCTTGTCGAGGTGAAGCAAATTGGATTGCAGTGGGCAGAAATGGCAAAGAAGGTCTGCCTTTAGACATTATTGTATTCATTCTTTCACGGACTACAGCTTCTTTGTTGACTTCGGTATTCTGCAGGTTGCCAGTGATAATGGGGATTTAGAGCTAGATAAAGTGTTTGAGCTCATTGCCGAAGGAGAGAGTTTGCCCATCCACTTTGAGAAGGAGCTTAAGGTACCTTTTAGGTCAATGTGGACCTTAATTGCTGGATTCTCCAAAATGAAAACCCTAATGTTTATTTGTTTCCAGCTGTTGCGAGGGAGAAGTGTGCTGTACTGTATCTGTCGGAAACCTTATGATATGAGGCCAATGATCGCGTGTGATGAATGTGATGAGTGGTATCATTTTGATTGTGTCAATTTGATCTCTCCGCCTGATACTTACATCTGTCCAGCTTGTGAACCTCATATGGAAGGGAAAGTACCTGTTTCTCCATCTGTCAAACGAGAGAGGTAAATCCTTATTCCTTAATGTTCTTATCAATTGACCTTAAGGTCCAACACCAGAGTAGCCTTGTATGCAAGCTCTTCTTATTCATCTCCTACAGCATCTGCATTATTCTACATAGCCGTTAACTTTAATTTCACCGTCCTCTGTGTTGGCTGTTTGTTTGTTTAGTATTACCTTGTTTGTGAACTAAGAGTTTTCCAGTATTTATTACCTTATTAAAAAAAAATAAAAAAAAATAAAAAAATAAAAAAAATAAAAAAAATAAAAAAAAAACAACGGGACCTGCATTTTCTTTGTTGCAATTGGTTTGATTTTCAAAAATCTGATTCATGTAAATATTCCAAAATATTTTATAAGTTTGGAAATTGCTAGTAAAGCATTGTTGGGCTGTTTGCCATCTCAACAGATCTCAGAGTGCCAAAGACAGTGAGCCACAGACACCTTCACCTCGGCATGTAGAGTCAAGATGGAGGCTTAAGAAGGGGAAATCTTCAAAGAAGCGGAAGGCATGTTTAGGTGATGCCATTAATAGTAGTAGTTTAGTGTTGTCTAATGGATTTGATGAGTTATTGTGGAGAAATAAGAAACCATATAGAAGAACAGTCAAGAAAAGGACCGATTTAGGAAGCCTATCCCCATTCTTTCTTTTACAGCAATAGTAGTTTTAGAGCATCAGATGTATTCAATTCATTCATTTTTTTCTTTCCACCAGTGCAGTAATGCTTTGTTGGTCTAGTAAGGTAATAATAGTGGGAGAAAAAAAATATGGTCTCCCTTTTCCTGCTCTCTTTTGCTCGCTCCTCTTTAACCTGATTGATGATCGTTGTGGTTTGTTGTGACGGTAAAGTGTTTAAGAAAAAACTTGGCTGGCATGGCTGCCATCAAAGTTATAACCTACACGGCTATCACCTACCTTAATCTTTACGAGTAATCTAAATACTCTTAACAATAAGAGTTGTTAAAAAAAACACCCAAAAGAAACAAGTATTAATAGTGTTTTGTGGACGTAGAAAATTTTTATCCCGATAGTTGTAAATTCTTTTTCCTTGTCATCTGATTATTATTTTTTAATAACAATATTGATACATAAATAAAAAGTTATACGGTATTTATGCGCGCATAAAAAAATAAATAAATAAATAAATAAATTCATGACAATTGAATTGAATAAAACTTCTTTTCCGCAAATTGTATATTTTTGTTATTCTCTTTCATTTATTAGTTGGGTCTATTGATTTGTTGTAACAAGAAAATTCTCATCTGATTATTTGTTTGTAATCGAAATATTAATCTTTTTTTTTTATCTCACACAAAACTATACTCGCGAAACAACTTGTACTATGATAAACTCAACAATTGAACTTGAACAAAACCTACCATAGGGGCATTTACTAGACAACTGAACTTAAACAAAACCCACCATTGAGCGGTTACTACACAAGTGAACTTGAACTAAAGTCCACCATAAGGGTACTTTTTTTTTTTTTTTTTGAAATCCACCATAAGGGTACTTACTACACTCTCCGTCCATCAACTAAATCAATTTAATTAAGCTTGGATTTAATTAAGCTAAAAGAATATCTTGCCATCACCATTTACCTTGATTTGCAAAGCCTTAGTTCATCAACTAAATCAATTTGCAGAACTGAATGAAAATAAATTCCTCTATCTAGCCATGTAAAATATACTCTCTCCGTCCCTTATTGATAGTCTCTTATGGATAATTTTCACGGAAATTAATAAATATAAATAAAGTAGTAAAAGTACATTGAAAAGGTAAATTTACATAGGGAATGTAAAAAGGTAGAGAGATAAAGTAATAAAAGTACATGGAAAAGCAAAATTTACATGGAAAAGTTAAATTTGCACAAATATTATTATAATTTGAGGAAATTTTAGAAAAAGAATTGATCTTAAAGGTACTTAAAAAGGCAAATAGAACTGTTATTTTAGGACTTAAAATTGGCCAAAAGGGACTATCGGTAAAATAAGAAGATGACCATTGCCTGCCTCCAATTTGGAGTGCTTTGGAAATATTTTCAACTTCAATTTTCGTTAATACTAGTAGTTAACTAAGAAGCAACTATTTATATTTTTATAAATTTTCAGTGCCAAAATTTTTCACTATAAGTGAGCGCTAAATTTCCCTCTACAAAAGCAGGGTCCACTATCAAAATTTCAATGAATGGTTGTCTATGTGGAAAACACAGAGTGAATGTGTATCAAATTTCCTAATATTTTAACATAACAAATTCAAAATAATCGCTTAAAATTTGGTACCCTTCAAAATGTTACAATTCCGTATTCCGTAATAATCAAAGTTTTGCATGTATAATGAATTGCACAAAAAAGTAAGGAAAATTTACTCTTTGGTGTCCCAACGTTTAAGTAAATTCCACTTTGGTGACCCATGGTTTCAATATTCCCACTTTAGTGTCCTGTCATTAGATAATTGTTCAATATTAATGCCTAATAGTTAACGGTGTTAAATTCTCCATTAATTTTTTTTTTTTTTGAAAAATATCATTATTTTTTTTTTATTAAACTAAAGCAATAAAGCCACATATTATCATAAAATCGTAATCAGACCATTATATATATATATATAAAAGATGTCCATATATATGTACATGAACCAATAGTAGTGGAACTTTTTTCTCCTCATGAAACTAAGAGGCCATGAAACTAAGATTACAGCTAATAAAACAAAAATATATCCTTAGTCATGCATAAATTAATTAAAAAGTCAATGTACTGCACTTTCAACATCATTGTTTGTAACCCAAAAAATTTCATGACTACATGCCCAAAAAGTAATATTAATAATTTTTTTAAAAAAACTAGAATACTACTGTTCAGTGAGGAACTTTGTGTATTGCGACGATACAACTGTTGTAAGATCTTGATTTGTTCAGGTTCTCGTCTGATTCCCACTGTTGTTTAGCTTGCTCGACTTTTTTTTTTTTTAGTTTCTCCTCCTTGACAACCTCTTTTATTGTGTCCAAGACACTTGCAAATGCTACATCGAACAACTGTGGACCTTTTCATATTAGGAGTCTCACCTTTTTCTTTGTGCCTCTGAGTTTTAGGTCTCCCAGCTCTCCTAGTCAACTCGGGATGAGTAAGTCGTGGTTGATCATCTTCTGGCCACATATTTATGTCTGGAATTGGGTGTATGAAACCTTTGTAAGTCCTTAAATAGGCTTCCTTAGAGTAACAAGGATGCACAAAATCAGTAATCTCCTTCCTTAGATACCTGATAGCAGATGCAGCATGTTTGCAAGGGATTCCCACATTTTGCCATGCCTGACACATACAAGTCCACTTATTCAAATCCACACAAAAGTAAACATGCATATCTTTGACTTCAAATACTCCATAGCCGGAAGCAGTTGGTTTACAAAAATATCCATCACCCCAAGCCGAATCTACCATCTTCTTTACTCTAGGGCACAATTTGCCATCCTATTTCAGTGCAAACCTTTTTTTTTTCCAATTTCTTCATACATCGTCTTCTAAGTCCCTCAAGCATTGTCAAAATAGGTTGGCTTCTCAATTCTCTAATTTTTCCGTTAAGAGACTCGACAAAATTGTTAGTCAATTCTGGAACCTATATTTATAAGAATGGGTTATGTTCATGGAATTTGGATGAAAATGATAAAAATATAGAAATTAAAACAATTAAAAAAAATACTTGAGTTTAATAAATTTGATACCTTGAGGCTTGAGTTATGTCTAGTCCATAATTCCAAAGGTAAGTCATTCAAATAATTATAAGCATTTGTATTATTCTTTTTTATTTGTGCCATTGCCTTAAGGAATACATATGGAGAGTGTGCTTTTGTGGCTACCCAAAAGTAGTTCTTCATTAAATCTCTTGGCCATTGCTGCTTAAAATTGGCGTACAAATTCCTTGCACAAACCCTCCTTGATACTTCAGGCAATTGTTCATCCAACGCAATGTCTAACCCCTAACATCATATGTAAGTGATGCAAAAACGTTAAGAAAAAAAAATAATAAAAAGTATTGATAAAAATATTATAGGTTGTTACCTTTTGTCTGTCACTCATGATCACCCATGTCTTTCTAGTTTCCTCATCCGCCATTCTCTTTAAATGATAAAAAAGAAGGACCAATTCTCTTTAGTTTCTTTATCCACCACCGCATATGCAATGGGAAGAATCCCATTGTCACCATCTAAAGATGCAACAACCAGTAGAGAGCCCCCATATCTACCCCGCAAGTGTGTACCATCTACACCTATGAAAGGTCTACAACCACTAAGAAACCCATTATAAAGAGCGTCAAAACTAATGAAAATTTTCTTGAACATAGGATTTGCAGAAGGCACTTCTGGCGTTCTCCATGTAATCCCACAAATTGCACGACACTCTCTATGATCATTTGTATGTAAGTGGTTAACCTAGCATAAGACTCCTGATGAGACCCATCCATCATATCCTTTAATATGCTCCTTGCTCTATATAATTGACTATTCTTACACCTAATCCCATGTCTTTGTATAATCAATTCTTTCATTCCCTTGACCGTGATTTCAGGGTTGGCCCTAAAATCATCCTTTAGAGATTCAACAATCCAAGGAGATTTTATTGTAGGGTTCTTATCAAGCCTCACACAAGTGTGCTCAGATCGAAAGGTCTTGATTTGGAATGTAATACCATCAGCCAATAAACTTGCATATACTCTCCATGGACATGAACCCTTAATCTTGTTTCCTATTTTATTATCCTCAAGATCATATCAGAAACAATTTTCTTACAAGTGGCCCAAAATTTGACCTTAGTGCTTCTTTTTTTTTTTCAAGACAAAATCCCTCTTGTATTGCATAAGACTGAAGTACACTTAGAAACTTAGCCTTATTCTCAAACATTTGGCCCACTTCAAGTTTTATGGTACTGTCATCTTTCAAAGAAAACCACTTTCCATTCTTTGTAAACTTAGGAATATTATCTGTTTCTCCTTCACTATTACTTACATAAGACTTCTCCTCATCCCAACCATCATCACTCGTATCATCTAAATGTATATCTTCCTCATTTCCCTCATACTCGCTAGATTGGGGTTCATCCTCACACTCTGAATCCCACTCATCCCCGGTACTAACTAATGAATATCCGCCCAAATCAACCACATCGCTATGAGATCGTACAATTATACTTCCATCATCCTTAAAAAACCTTTTGCCTCTCTTTTGTTTACTTAAAATATGGTGTTTATTAGGTGTGTGAGTTGGTACAGGTTTTTTGATATCGATACAATGTCTTTTTTTAGGGGCTATCAGAGTTGGAGCTTCTAAGATGGGAACATGATCTTCAACTACTAATGACATAGGCTCACTTTGAACCCCACTACTATCAACCTCAGTATCTTTAGCAAACCATGTAAGCTCTTGTTCAGTAGGCCATAGTAGCTCTATAGGAATCTCAGAAACTTCCGCCTCATGCATATAACCATTTTTAGGCCACAACACCTCCTCAACAATCTTCTCATTATCATGTATTTTCTTCCATTCCTCATAAGCCCTTCTTGCTCCTTCAAAGTATATAATGAAGATGACTCACTCTCCTCTATAATCAGATTAATTTCTTCTTTATTTTCACACAAGCTAAACACCATCATCAAATTTTTATCACAATCTATTGTCGAATAATTGTCAATCCCTTGTTTAAAAATAACTTTTGGAGACTTAGGATCATGCCCAATTTGGCTAGCTGCTTGTATCCAAACATCAATAAGCAAATCCACAACTGAATATTTATCGGGATCCACTCCTTGTATGATAAAACATTTCTCGTAATAACGACACAAAAGTTTATGCTGTTGCAATGTACAAAGCAGAGTATTAAATAAACAAATTATGATCCTAGACAATATACAATCATATTCAATAATCAAGCATGTTATCATGCATAAAAAAACTAAACATCAACGGATGACATTGATATTAATGCCATAGATTACATTTTACTTTGATTTTTCCACTAATATCGATCACTTCAAAACCATTAAATTTTGTTTACTGTACACATATAAATATAATTTTAAACTCACAAATTGAAGTTCCCATACAAATTCATGATGATATGAACAGTTGTGTATGTAATTGATAAATTATGACAAATTCCACTAAGAGATACCAACCTTAAATCTACTTTATTTTATAATTTAACAAATATTACCTTCATTTGCACCGCAATTGCTTGTTTGTTACTTTGCTTGGATTGAGTTTTACGATTTCGGCATTATCTTTACCAATGAATGAGACAGATTTTATTTGATTAGAGGAGATACTTAGTTTGTGATGAATTATGGAGTTGAGTAGAAGTGTAGAACCCTAGAGGCGTAGAAGTTAGAGGGAAATTTTGAGAGAGATGAGGTAAAATGGTTTTGGGGGAAAACTAGACCCTAATATAACTAATTAATTATACAGCTTGAAGTTTTTTTTTTCTTTTTTAGTTAACGGAGAATTTAACACCATTAACTATTAGGCACTAATATTGAACCATTATCTAATGACTGGACACTAAAGTGGGAATATTGAAACCATGGGTCACCAAAGTGGAATTTACCTAAACGTTGGGACACCAAAGTGTAAATTTTCCAAAAAGTAAAGGACTAGAGGCCTAGTGGTAATAAATTACAATGGTAATTATTGGTCTGTCCTAGTGCACTGTACGCTTTCTATGTTAAGCTTAAAACTCTAAAAACCTTCACCATTTTCTGGAATTCTTTGTGTTGTTCTCAATTTCTCATTTTCCCTTCAATTTTAGTTTTTCTTTATAATTTCTATAAAAAAAAAGGGAAATTCTCTTTGGTGAACTCCAACTTTTTAATTTTCCAAGTGGTAAACATTCTTAAATTTTATTATCAATGATAAACCTAAAATTTTATACTAAGTCAAATATAACACTAATGATAAATTTTAACTAAATATTTAACCATAGTTAGCTTTTTTTTTTAAACATTTATTTTAGAAATATTTTTTATAATAAAAAAAAACCCTCCCCTCACCGACAGCAACCACACCACCACCCATTACCCCCGTCGGCGGCCAGAGGATTTACTCGGTGCCGGCGGTACACTCCTGACCCAAAGCCCGACCGCCCAGCCCCTCCCCTTCCCCTAAACCACCTATTGAAATCCCAAATACACCACCAATGCACCACTCCTCCAACCACCAGCGCTCCACTCTGCATCTCCAACAACAAAACCACCAACTGCTGCTGCTACCCACCAAACCCCTAATCATTTTCACAGCCGCAACAAAATCGCAGCCCAATACCACCAATCGCAACCACAATTCCCACCAATCTCAACCGCAATTCGCAAAGCACCCCTATTCACAGCCACAATCACAACCAATGAGGAATTTGCGGGCATCGTTTGTGGGTGGTGTGTTTGCGAATAGAAGAGGAATAGCAGTAGAAGCGCTAATTTCGATGGTGTTGCGGGCTGGTGCTGGGGTTGGTGGTAGTTGAAATCGGGGAGGAAAAGGGAGGGGGTGGCAAGAAATGGGAGGAGAAGGGAAAGGGTGGCCAGAATTAGGAAGGGGAAGGGAGTTAGTGGTCGGAATCGGGGAGGGGAAGGAAGAGAGAAGGTAGGGCGGAGGAGATATCAAGATGGGAGAAAGAGAGAAGGTGGGGCGGGGGAGGTTAGGCGTCGCTGGACAAGGATGGGGAGGTCGGGAGTCGTCGGCGGTGGGGGAGGTCGGGTGTCTCCGGCAGAGGAATGGCCGCCGGCAGGGGATTAGAGGGGTTGCCGCCTACTGGTGGCTAGCTAGGTTGGGTAGGGGAGGGGTTTGGTTTTTTTTTTTTTTTTTTTTTTAAAAAAAATTACTTTTATAATTATTTAATCATTAAAAAAAACTAACTAACCATAGTTTAGGATTTTTATTAAAATAACACTTATCAATGGTAATCAAAATTCTAGGTTTACCATTAATAATAAAATTTAAGAACGTTTACCACCTGGAAAACAAAAAAATTGGAGTTCACCAAAGAGAATTTCTCGAAAAAAAATAATAAATATCGAGTAAACATTGTTGAACACTAAATGTCTGTCCACACTGATCGATCCCATAGTCGGGCCTTTCCCGGGGGCCCGAATCTTTCACCACCGGAGGATCATGCCGGAGGTATGCTACTGGAATTATGTGTTATTTTGTTTTACAGTCTTCAACATTTTTTTTGAAAGGGTTCATCTTTAATATTTTGATATACAATTTTTTTTTTTTTTTTTTTTTTTTTTTTTTTTGTATGGAATACGAAGTATGAATATATGATACTTGTATTAAGTTGTGTATATAACTCTAAATGTAAGAAATAAATGTTAGATTTTGTGGGTTAGTAAGAGATTAACAGGAAGCCCCAGTTGATCTTTGTGTTTAACAAAAGTTTATCTACTGATATTTTAAATAAATTAACAAAACATTCCAGTTAATACGACATTTTCGTAAATAAGTCAACATTGAAAATGTCATGCTGACTGAAATGTTTTGTTGATTTATTCACAAAAATGTCATTAGATAAACAATTTTCGCTTATCACGAAGATAAACTATTAGAATACCAGCAGAACATTGATTGGCTGAAGATGCTACCGATTAGTCGTTGCGACAGCACTCCAATTAGCACTAAGAAAAGGCAGAAATTAAAGGGTAACAGTTTTTATCAACTTGTTCTTTTGTATTGTAATGAGTTTAAGCTTTGAAAATTAGTTTTAATATTGTATTTCTTGTATGTTGTAGAGTTGTTTTGTGTTTAATATTGTGTTTAGTGTCTTGAAGATTTGTTTATTTTCCTTGTGATTTGTGTTTAATGGTGAAACTTTGTTACTTTTTGTGAATGTTGCTGCTTGGAATTTGGCAAAGATGAGGGTGAATCCATGCATCAAGATGATGCAGCCACCAAGTCATCGAAGATGCTATCGATCAAACGTGGTGGTAGCTGCTCACGTGGTACCGGTAAATGGCAGAAGATGAGAGGTATCATCCCATACCTTACTAACCTTGTGTTCTAATTTTAATGATGCAGCGCTTGTTTCACCACAGCACACAGGGTCTACATTATGTTATCTTGTATGGCACTAGGAACATTGAGTTATCTTTCTCCCAACATAAATTAAAGTTTTGATATTATAATCATATGGAAATATGTTTGTAAAGCTGAGGTGAAGAAGGTGATTTGAGATTGGAATTGAACACAAGGAGGCCGGTATCTCTTAAACTGAGATATCCTCGTCTTAATCTAATCTTCTTTTGCGTTTTGATACTCACTTACAAAACATTATGCACATTATATATACTACGGATATTTTTTTGGTTAAAAGTCTTGAAACTCGTATATTCTCTCTATTGTGAAGGATGAGTAGAAAGTCTCATTTCCACACAGAAAAATTTGTGCTTTTGAACTGTTTGTATCAGATAAACATTTTTTTCCCCTGTATGTTGGGTTAAGGACTTAAGGCTGCCAAGTTTTTCCTATATTAGCGGACTTGTTTAATATGCCATTTACGTAGTAATTAATTTAGCAGTATTCACTATATTAAAAGCTAGCAACTTGTTTCTATACATTGAGGACTTTGAGGTGATGCAGTAATTTATTGTGTAATTTTGCAGCTCAATTGGATATGTCTCTCCACACAGGGGAAACGTCTACTAGACCAATCACACGGGGTGAGGGACTTCAAAATGAGCTGCTTAATGTTTTTGTCTGACACTATAATTATCAAGTTCAATAGTAAAAAAATTTACTTTATTATGCATGAAGTTATTATCAATACCTGATTACCTGTCTCTTTTTCCACAGCATTGTCACAGAAGCAGGAGCTGAAGTCTCAGGATAGTGCCAAAATCTTCAACTTAGATGATAGCAGTTTCATGGGAGGTTCTTGCATAAAGATAATATCCGAAGATGAAACATTGAAGAGGTGTCCTTCTGTTGATATCATTGAAATTGAATCCTCAGCCGAAAATTCTGGCCTTCAATCAAATCTCAATGAGCTATTGAATGATAATAGTGCGTTCATCAGTAGAGCCATAGTAAAAGGTATGCCAATGTTCTTTGGTAACATCAAAAACTTTATGTTGTCATGTTAAATTAAAACTCCTGTTTTTATGCTACTGATAAACTGGACAAAAGATATAGAGTTAAAACCTTTTAGTGGACGAGAGGAATACAGAAAAGATGGCCTGTTGATACAGAATTTCTGATTCCTTTGAGCAGGCTGTTGCATACAGCGTGTTAAACCTTAAAGGAGGTTTGGATATACGAAATCTTACCTTGCTAAATAGGGAGGCCAAGGCCATCAGGGACTCAGGGTTGGCTCATGAGTATGGCCAATCAACATTACTAAAGCCTTTTTTCTAGGCCCCTATAGAATTTTTTAGTTTTATTTTGGAGAATATTTTTAACAGATTTCCAAGATAGGTCAATTTTCTTTGATCTTGAATACAAATTAATAATTTTGAATAGCCCTTAGAAGTTTGCATTAGACTTTTGAATTGAAATGCAACTACCACCTCTTACTTCAAGATTAAAGATGAGCACATGTAGTTCATCACCCATTTGATTTAATCCACTGTGATGCCAAGTCAATGATTATTACTTAACTTTCATGCAAATCTCAAGTAATAAGATATTTTTGTTGAAGACACTGATAAACATATTAATCACATATTCTCTTAATATCAACCCTTGTTTCCCCTCTCAATCAAGTGCAGCAGATATTGTCTTATCACTGATTGATTTAAGTTTCAGCATCACAACCGATCTTAGCTTCAAAATTTTGCAGATGAGATATCTGATACAAATGAAAATGACAACAGGCTTGGATCTCCTGAAATTGGCATAAATGGAGAGCAACCCATGGAAGCGCAGCCTGAAAAAGGTCCAAGTCAGCTGATTGTTTCTGAACATGAAAATATATGTCCACAACTACTAGGAGACAGCCTGACTGCCATGTTAAGGGACTCGTCTCGTATACTCTCGGTTACAACCAATAAGCAAGGGATTATCACCAAAGATTCTGTTGTAATTGACCATGGACTTAGATCTTCCAACAGAATTGGCTTCACCTCAGGAGGACAATCAATGGACCCACAGCCTGAAGAAGGTCAAAGTGAGTCCATTTCTCACAACACGAAAATGAATGTCCAGGACAAGGACAAGGACAAGGTCAAGGTCAAAGTAACCAAGGATTTCAATCTTCAAACAAAATTTGCTCAACCTTTGGGGGCGAACAAACTAACAGGCAACTTGAAGGCGGTGACAGTCAGTCCATTGCTTCACGACATGAAAATGACTGTCTAAAAGCAACCGGAACAACTGCCATTTCAATGGACTCATCTCATATCATGCAAGCTATATTCAACAAGTATGGGGATATCACTAAAGCGTGTACATTGCAATCAGAACTTTTCAAGACTCTCTGTTTAGAGGGTATCTGTAAGGTTGTGCAGAAGCTCTACGACACCCATCTTGCTGATATGAAATTTGATGATGTTAAGGGATTCTACTCCATCCTAAGGGATGCCGAGAGTCTGAATTTTGATGTCAAATGGCTGCATCAGAGACTCGATGAAATTGTGAAAGTGATGACAAGTAAGGATGAGCTCAAGAAACTCGAGGATGAACTTAGAGAAAGTAAAGTGAAAGCAGAAGAGATTTCTAATGCTTTGGAGCTGAAAACAATCGAGCAGGCTAAACTTGAACATGATATTGAAAAGTTGGAAGAGCAGAATGTTATAGAAAACCTAAAGATCGAAGAGTTGAATGCACAAATCGACAACATCAAATCTACATGTCTAAGTTTCAAACAAGTGACGCCTGGATTGCTGTAGACTTTTTCTTGATGTATAGACATAGTAGTGGTTTGTTACTTGTACATGGTTGTCCACTTGTCCCCCGAAAGCGGAAAGCTGGAAAGTACACTCTGGATATAGCTAAATTATGCCTGACTGCTTCTAATGTTTATATCAGTTGCAAAGATTTGCTGCCTGTATTTCTTTTTTTTTTTTTTTTTTTTTTTTGGGACAAGGATTTGCTGCCTGTATAAGATGAGCACTGCACTTGTATTCTCATTAACAGTTGCGGATTTGTGGTTAAGGCCTATTTAACTATGAATGAAATGTAACACTTAGGTTAGTTGCATACATTATGATCCAATTGTTTTAATTTCATAAAGCAATTCTTTCATGAGCATATATGAAAGTTAGCGTCCATCAAAAACTTTTGTATACATCCAATGTACAGTATCATCGAAGTAATTTTTTTGAATTTAGGGTAACTTTTGTTAATCTAGGGTAATTTTTATCCATAAAGCTTAAAAAAATTTGTTTATATGAGGATAATTTCTACTATGTATATACTAGGCAATTTTCATTCATTCTAGGATAACTTTTGTTCATTTTAAAGTAACTTTGAAGCGGATTTTATTGTACATTTGATATTTTTTAAATGTTTGTCTTGACAATAAAGTCAATAGAGATCACTTGCATCAAAATCGGACTCAAGCCAATATTATGAATAGAAATATTCTGGTGATATGAATATGAACATAAAAATAAAATACATACATACCTAACTGCAACAAATGTAGGATTTCAGCACTTTGCTTGCCTAAACTGAGAAGTACTCCACTTGGATTTGTCTTAGGCAATACAAGACAAGGTTTAATAGATTCTGGCCCAATAAGGAATGTCCACTTCATTGCTCTCTCCAAATTTAAATATTAAAAATAAAATTTCCTAAATTTTATACCCCATATGTTATTTTAACTTTCTATAAAGTGATGCATTTTGACTAGTATATTAACCAACGTGTAATTTGATCAGTAATATTTATAATTAGTAATAAGTATAAATTATATAAAGTTGATAACTGAAAACTAAAAAATATTCAAATATATGTTAAGACGATTTGAATAATTTACTCTTATAATTGTGTTTGATACGATAGAGCACTAACATAGATGGAAGACATATTTTGTTAATTGAACTTGAAAAAACCCTTTTAATTTATTACAACTTATCCGAACTTATTTTTCCTTAACTTATTAATGTTTATGTTAAGTTTATTTTTCATATGAATGGAAATAAGGAGAATAAAAAAGGCCTAAGAAATAACCATGCGAAGCAATGAAGGTACTCGGCTCCGTTTTTTTAAAATGTCATGGTTTGACTTTTGCATTATTCACACACGCCATTTTGCTCCATTTGAGGTTTTAACCCATTAAAATAATTCATGTCATCTTAAAAAAAAAAAAAAAAAAATTTGCATACTTTGGCTATGCTTAGTTCAACTTATGTAAACAAACATTTTCTTATTTTATATACAATCAAATATGATTGACCTAGATCAAAATCTAACTTTTTTTATTTTATTTTATTCTTTTATTTTCGCTACACATCGTAAACTTGTGATTAAAATAATTATGAAAAAAATCATATTTAAAAAGTTCACCTAATTAAATACAAATCTAAGGATATCACATTTAATGAATTTTTTATCTTTGAAATTAGTGTATATACTCGATATTAACTAATTTTGATCCTACTTAAAAAGAATCTAACTTGAATACTTGTATAAGACTCATATTGATTATGTTCTCATTATAGGATAATTGACATATAACAAAAAAGATACATGAACTAATAGGCAAATCTTGAATAATATAAATACTAATATTCTAATAATCATACCAATTGTTACCTCACATATAACCTCTCATATATACATTTAACTAGATGAAGCCCGTGCGATGCACGGTTTTTTTTTTTTTTTTTTGTATTTATGAGCTAAAATTGGTTATATATTTAGATAAAATTTCTAATATTAAAAGATAATATTTAATTATTTTAAACTTAAAAATCTTATTCGCCAATTTTGCTTACGTGACATTTGAATTATTTAATTCTAAAAGCAATTAATAATCTCTTATTTAATGTGGATTGCTAAATACCGCCAGCTTTTTTTTATCAAATTGCCAACAAAAGTGAAGAATGGACAAAATTACCCTTACTCATCCTCACTTTGCTTTCTTTCTCCTAAGGCATCAATCAAGCCTCAAACTCAAACTCAACCACCACAAAAGCAACCACCATTGCCACCCACCACTCACGCCACCACGACCACCGCCCATACCACTACAACCACTGCACCAAGGCACCAAATTGTTTTTGAGGCCGAAATCCTGAAAGAACCAACAACAATCATCAACCATCGGACCAACAACAATCATCAGCCATCGGATAAACAACCCACCACCTTCCCACGTCGGCGGGAGGGTGGTGATTTTCTTTTAAATTTGGCGACCAGCACAACCGACGCCCAAAACCGGTCACCCAGAACGGTAACCGGTTTCCAGCGTCGGTTGACCATGGTAACCGACGCTGGAAACTGGTTACCGTCCCGGGTGACCGGTTTTGGGTGCCGATTGACCACGGTAGACCGACAGCCAAAACCAGTTACCGTCTCGGGTGACCGATTTTGCACGCCGATTGACCATGGTGAGCGCCGGAGATTATTAAAAAACAAGAACTGAGCAAAGTGACGAACTGGTTTTTCAATTTTGACCACCGTGATGCCGGTTCATCACCTCCAATCCTCACCGTTGTTGTCCTTCCACGTCCGGCCACCACTTCTCTTCACCTCTGATGTACAACCTCTATTTGAGGTTGATGGTGGTTTGGATGTGGTATTGTGATGAGAGAGAAAAAAAATAAAAGAGAAAGAGGAAGATGGGGTGGGGGTATAGTAAGGGTATTGGTGTCCATTCACCTTAAATGTTGGCGATTTTGATAAAAGTTGTTGGCGGTATTTAATACCCCCTATTTAATTGGCTATTGCTAAGATTTATAATCCTACATGGCGCGCTAAGAAAATTAGATCTTATGTAGCTCTCTAAAAACTCGGGAAAAAACTCCCCTTTATATATATATATATATATTAGATTCTTAAAAACAAATAAACATTCAATAATACTTAAAAAATTGTAAAAGTCTTGGAAGAAAAATTAAAATCCAACCTATGAAAACATAAAAAAAAAAAAAATTTAAAAATATAAAATAAAAAAAATAAAAATTTATACATTATGAGTATATAATTACAAAAGAATAGCTGAAAAGTAAGAATTTTTTCTTTTCAAAAGTTAATTTAAGAACTCCTAATTCTCCTTGAAAAAAATTAAAAACCAAACCATAGAACTTACATAGTAAAGCGACAAAGTTTGAACTGGACTCTTAAGGTGACAATGTGACATCACATCCTTTAATTCGTTTTTTAAACTTTTCTATCTTTTTAATACAATTAATTTAATTTAATTTAATAAATAAAAAAAATGCAAACCCAATGTTTGAATGACATTGTTGTTGTAGTTGTTGTTTGCACTCTCTATCAAGGACCACCACTACTACCAATCTTCCACCAATACTATTAGTTTCTCTCTCTTACCAAACTCAGAGAAGTAAGAAGAGATGTGTACTTTTGCATTCAATTGCAAAAAGTCAGTTAAATGTATCACTATTTTGGTAACTTTGAGTTATTTTAAGTAGCTCACTCTGTCCTTCCTCAACTCTCATTTTACATCTACTTTTTTTTTTTTTTTTTTTTTTTTTTTTTTTTTTTATTTATTTGAAATTTTGGGGATTTTTTTCTTCTTCTTTAGGGTAGTTATTAATGTACTTGCTTTTAATAGTCATATAAACTTGTTTTTAATTTTTATTTACAAAATTAAATTAAATTACATTAATACCCTATCATACACATCCAAGTTTCTTAATAGTCGTAGGGCATATTCTCATACGATTATTTTCAGTTCAGTTCAGTTCCTAATTTCCTTCTCTTATAAAATATTTATTTCAGTTCAGTTCAGTTCAACTCTAATAAGTTCAATTCAGCTCTAATAAGTCAGTTCAGCTCAACTGATTTAAGTCAATGAGAACATGTCCGTACTTTGTTTATTTAAAAAAAAATAAAATTTGATTTGATTTTTTTTTTTGGCAATTATTACTCACATAGCCATCTAATATATCTATTGATTATTTTTTCATGAAAATAAGCAAAATAAAATGAACTTATTTTGATGTTGTGATGAACTAGACATATATATGCCAATAGTGTCCTAATATTCTAATGACCCATTATTCTAAGATATAATTTTCAACAATTCAGTTTTGATATTTCTTTGCACTCAATAACTTGAAATGAAACTCAAAATATTTGCCTAAACACAGATAATTTTCGTAAGGAAGAAAAAAGTATGTTCAATATGTTATGTTTGATCAAATTCTAGGGAAAATAGGTTTATATAATCAAAGAAAGGAAATGGACAATCCACATAAGAAGGAGCATATATTAAATTGAAATTTAGAATCCATAGCCTGTTCACATCTAAGTACCACGTTCTCCTAGACTTGGTCGGACTCGATCATTGTGTGTGTGTTCCATCACCCCTTAAAGTGTTTTTTTTTTTTTTTTTAATTTTTTTATATTTTTAACCAGGTAATAGGTTGATAACTTTAAGGGGGCGTTTGGTTCAAACAATGGTATGAGTTTGGAATGAGGAATGAAACCAAGGTGGTATGAGGTTGAAACTTGATACTTGATTTCATATGTTTGGTTTTTATCTAGGAATGATAGTTTTTCTTTAATGTTAAACCTAAAGGTATGGGTATGAGCCATACCCACCTCCCCCTTGGGTTTTAAAAACCCATACCTTAGGGGTTTAAGGTATGGGTTTGGAAAATGAAATTTATGGAAACAAACATAAGATATGGATTTTGGTCATTCTAAACCCATACCTTATACCTAATATGCTTGAACCAAAAATCATAAATCTATAATCTTAAGAATCTAATATTAAGACTTATCAGTTGATTAAAATCAACTATATATAAATAAAGGTAACATAACAAGAAAGTAAATAAATCTTATGAGTTAAGATTTGATCAACTAATACGTAGTATATAAATCTATCATATAGATATAAACCCTCTCTAGTCCAATATCACAAATATTTACCATTTTGTTACCATTTTACCGATAATGATAAAGTTATAAACTTGCCTCAAACCCATATAATATTAACCCAAAAAACAAAAAATCACCTTTAATTCAAAAAGCTCAAATCTCTATATATTTTAATTTTTATATTTTATTTTCTTTTTTCTTTGAAACAAACACTCACACTCTCTCTCCTCTTTCTCTGAACTCACTTTCACTCTCCTCCCTCTCAAACTACTACTACTGCCATTTTTTTTTCTTTCCTAATTCAAATCTAGGGTTTTCTTTTTTTTTTTTTCTTATCTTATTTTTTTCATATGATTTTTCTATCTTTTCTTTTTTCTTTTTTGCTGCTTCTTAAGTAGTTTTTTTTTTATTGAAGAGGGGTAGGCGAGATTTCAAATTTTCTGGGGTTTGGAAGAAATCTGCTGCTGTTCAGTGACTAAAAAACACTCGGGAAGTTTCAAAATTCAATCTTTAAGATCTGGGGCTTCTTAATTTGCCATCAAAACCCTAATTTTACCCAGTTTGCCAGATTTTTGAGTGTTTCAACTTATGGGTAAGCTCTAATTATTGCCTTTTGGGAGTAATTGAGGTTTTTTCTTCATCAGGAAGGGTTTAAAACCCTAATTCTGGATCTTAAACCCTTAAAGGTTTCAGTCTTTCTTGCTGTTTGAGCATCTGTGTAAGTTTAAATCTTGGTTTAATTGAGAAATTTGAATTTTTTGGGTTAATTTAGAAGTGATTTTTGTGAATAATTGGGTGAGGTAAATGTATGGATGGGAGAGAAGGTATGGCGTTGCAAGGTTCAGCACCATATTATATGCATAGAGCAATTCCTGGTTCAGTTGGGTCAGGTGCAGGGCAACCTGGATTGAACACACCATCTTCAGGGTTTAGACCCTCTTCAAACCCTAATATTTCATCTCAGCAAATTGTTAGGGCTAATAATTCTGTGGGTCCTGGATTCAATGTAGAAGGATCCCAACCCAATGTGCCTCAAGGGTTCACTATTACTGTGGCTTCAATTGGGGGTTCATTGAGTGAGCCTACAAAGAAGAAGAGAGGAAGGCCTAGGAAATATGGGCCAGATGGTTCTGGTCCCGGGGCGGCATCGGTGTCTGGTACCATGGCGTTGGGGCTCTCCCCGTCTACCCCGAATTCGAGTGCCCTTGCGGAAAGGAAGAAGAGAGGAAGACCTCCTGGGTCTGGGAGGAAGCAGAGATTGGCTTCTGTTGGTAAGCTTAATTGTTTTACCTCGGTTTGCTTGTTTTTGATCTGCTTTCTTTTTGTTGTTTTTGAAGAATGATCATAGTGGGTTAAGAGTTTATTTTGTTAATTATGGCCTTTGATTGTTTATTGCATGTCAAATATCCCTTGCATTGTTATATTATCATTTGGACCATCATGAGACTCTATGAGCTTGTTGTTTAAGAGAATGCTATGAAATTGATGGTGAAAGGTTTCTCATCAATATGAATTTGGTGATCTTGTATTTGTGCTCAGGATCAAAGTGCTATAGCTTAGAATGAAGCCAAGCATATATAGTTTTGTTTTGCGCTGTGGAATAATTGTTGCGAGATTTCTTACTCTTACAAGTTTAGTTGTTTCTATCATTAACATGTTGTGGAGAGCTTAATTGGAGTCTTTCTTGATAAGAATTATCCACCTGTCTTTTCTTACCTTTTCATCATTCTCAATCTCATTCACAAACATATCCGACATTTTCTGTTGAATGATTAATGATATCCTGTTCATAGCTACTTTGTAACTCGAATTCTTCGAAAGTTTTGAACTTGCTTGAAATATCCTGATTCAGGGTTGGAAGTTTTTAATCAGACGCCAATATCTCGATAATGTTTTCAGTTGGTATGCTGTTCATCTCACAGATTGAACTTGCTGTTCTTTGTTTGCTTCTATGCCACTCTAACTCTATGTTCTACTTCAAATTCTGGATTTCTGACAGTACTTCATAGTATTGTTTACTATCTTCCTGTAGCCTAGCGTTCTATTATTTTCTTATCTATGGAAATTTAAGAAATATAGCGTAGAGTAGACAAGAAATTTGAAGTGGTAAAGACAGCCTTTGGGGCTGCTGCCATACGAAACATCAAATTATGTGTTAAGTTCACCCTTTTTTTCTGCTAACTATTGTTATCTAAATTTGCATGATAGATAGTGTAAACTATCCAGCATGTATATTCTTCCCTAAGTTCTTACCTACTTTAAAAATGAACTGCGTAACTAGTCATTAATTTTCATCCGTCTTTTTATTTATTTATTTATAATGGAGGAGTATTAATGTTATTGATTTCGTGATGGTACTCTCCATTGTGAACTTACATTGACATTGCATGATAACTTATTTCAGGTGATTGGATGAATAATTCAGCAGGCATTGCATTTATGCCGCATGTCATTCATGTTGCACCCGGAGAGGTATGCTAAAAAGCTTAAAAGTTACTATGTGACCTTGCTTATATTGTTCTTAGTTGATGTATAATGAGCTATTGTGTTCTGTTAACTTGGCTGGTTTATATCTAAGCTGTACTTGGAAAGTTGGAAGTCTTCAAGTGCAGAAAAATATATTCTGCTACCTTGAGATTTTTCATTGGTTTTGTGTGAGAATCTTTCCCAAAGACAGATTAGGCTTAAAGTGCTAATACAAAGACAAAACTTCTTCATAGATACATTATTGAATACTTCTTCTCTATAACAGCTTCATTTTTGACTTAAACATGGGTTTTATTTATAGTTGTTGAATGTAAAAGAAGATATTGGGAAGTGTATATATATATAAAGAAAAATAGTAAGAAAAAGGAAGTGTATTCATTCCATTTTCAATCAGGACACCAAATTTTGTGTTGTGGAAGTTTGTTTTGGGATGGAGGGAGCACTAGGTGTAGGAAGTGTTTGAATGCTTGATTGCTTATTCATTTGTTCTTAACAGTCTCGGTATTTAGATCCTTGGATAGAGTTTGTCATGCCTCTTCCTTGAATAGCTATATGATTCTTAGTTTGTTAATAAGGAGAATCTAGTACACGAATGCTTGGGCCATGGAGGAGTTAGAGATTACAGATCTTAAATGAACTAGTGTATGTGCAATACAGTGTCCTCATAAATTCAGTAGCTGCCTTGAAGTGAATAGAAAGTTACACACTTAACACTTTTTCTTTGGGCTAGAATTCTGTCTGCTCTGTAAATATTGAATTCTGCTACTAAGTAGTCATTGCTTATGTATTAATCTACTGATGGTTGTGGTCTGCAGGATGTTGCCTCTAAAATACTCTCATTTTCACAGCAGCGGCCAAGAGCTCTATGTATTATGTCAGGCAGTGGTGGTGTTTCTGCTGTCACATTACGTCAGCCTGGATCGGCAACTGGGACTGTCTCATTTGAGGTATTTATTTTGTAGGTGAATAGATTGTTTAGAATTTTGAACCTGTATTTGATTTGTAAGTAGTTCATCTCACTTTTGATTAGCCACAAACTAGATTATCTGAACATGTTGTACTCGTTGCTTGTTCTTTGTACATTATTCACTCTCTTTGTCATTATCTCTTTCTTAGTGTTCTGTTGTCCAATTCTTTATCATACTGCTCTAATGTATTCTTCTCCTTGTCAGAAGCAATTGTAGTGGAGGTTTTTTATATCTTTTTTGATATGTTTTCCTTTAAATGATACTTAGTCTCTATTGCCTGAAGTTTACTTGTTAGTACTTATCTAAACTTTTTTAGTCTTACTATAGTTTTTGTAGGCGTTTTTATAGCTTATTGGAACTAAATTTTCAGGACTTTTCTTTCCTCAATATCAATAGAGTAAGGCCTTTGTGTATGCTTCGTAACTAGTTACACCTTATCTGAGTCATATCTGTCTGATGGTTTCTTTACCTGATTTGGCTCTTATCCCTTCCGTACTGAAAAGAGGATACAAACTAAAGATATTATCAAAATCCCAAACCTGAAAAAGAAGTTGGTTCTGTATCTGGCTTATCCTGCTTTACATTTTCTGTGCTCACAGTGAAAGTTTTGCATCATTTATGTTGGGAGTGTTGGAGACTTGAAACATTGTAGTTAGTGATTGTATTGTGAATCTTAGCAATCTTAAGAAAATCAATTGTAGTTTGTATACTTCTGCAGACCTGCAGTCATGCATTAACATAAATCGTTGATTACTGTGCGAGTACCACTTTCTGACCTTCAAGGTGGAAGTTTTATTCATCTGTTGTTTTTCTAAGTGTATTGAGATAGTTAGATGCTTAATTTCATATCTGATGTAATTTCTGTGCCGATTAGAAAAAAATTATTTTAATTTTAATTCAGATAATCTGTCAAATATCGGCCAAAACTTCCCTGTTCCCTCTATGATTTTTTCATGTTATGGTATCTAGTGATAGGCTGAATGATATTTCTTTTTCTTTTTTTTTTTTGAAGGAAAATAGACTGGGTGTATTGATTTTGCTTTTCGGTGTTTTAATTAATGAAATCCTGAGATTTCAATTCCATGTGTTGAACCTTAGACAATTGATCTCTTGGTTATTTGAACCTTAGTCAATCGATCACGTTTTCATTTATTTAGCATCAGTCTGGTCTACTAGCTATTAAATGACAGTAATTGCTGTGATTGCTCTGTTGTAAGAGTTTCTGAGCTGAGTCATTTTCTTTGATATATGTAGGGCCGTTTTGAGATACTATGCTTATCTGGTTCATACTTGGTTGCTGAAACTGGTGGGTCGCGTAATCGTACTGGAGGTGTTAATGTTTCTCTTTCAAGTCCTGATGGGCATGTGATTGGTGGTGCAGTTGGAGGAAGGCTTGTTGCTTCAAAGGCAGTTCAGGTATTATTAATATTAGAATGCAGATACACATTTACTGTTTGATGCACTTTGATCATATCTGGTACTCCCAATTCCAAATTTAGAAATGAGGCTGATTGGGTAGCATGCTAGCATCCCTTTTGATGAATTATTATGAAGCTAGAAGCAGGACCATCATTAGCTTCACTTGTGAAGTTGTGATAGTATATAGATTTGACTTTGATAGAGGTACTTGACTTTAGCCGTTCACCCATTCTAAAACCAGTCATTTTTGTAATTGGTATGTAAATTCTCGTTTTTTACATTTCCTTTTCCTTCCAATTTCCCTTTGAAGTTCCAACCCAGTGTTGAACACTCCTGGCTTATTTTCACCTTTTTATTTAGCTACGCCTAGTTTTGTAGCTATGGTACACCTTCATTTTGAGTTATCTCTGATATATTTTGTAAAGACACTGTAAATCCATTGTTGTTGTCATCACAGAAATGCGAGTAATTTATGCAGTGAAAGCTCTAACAAAGTTCTAACTTTGGGTATTAAGAGTCTAAACTCTTGTTCATTAGGGAAACAAAAGGTTTTCTTTACTGTTTTTTTTTCTTTTTCTTTTTCTTTTTTGGTGGAATGCAAGGTGCGGTTAGTTGTGGGAGCAAGTAGATTGTTTTTACCATGATGTAAGCTTATCATTGTTTTTATCAGGTTGTAGTGTGCAGTTTTGTTTATGGGAATCCGAAGGGCAAGGAGTCGGATTCAATGGATGATAAGAGCTCTGAACAACTTTTAAGTGATAAATCATCAGCACAGATTAATAATGCTTCTTCTAGCCAAAATGTTCCTGGCTCATGGCCTGGTTCTAAAGGGATAGATCTAAAGAATCCCAACACTGACATTGACTTGGCGAGTGGATGACACTGATAAAATACATATCATGTTACTAGTTTGGGCGATTTGTAAATACATTGTGTTGTGTATTTAAAGCCTTTTAGATGCATGAGCTTCCGGATCATCAGTTCCTTACGGAGTAGGGTGAAAAAGATAACAGACGTTTCCTGACCTTTGTGACGAAGCTTACGGTCTTGAAGCCCTGAGTTCAGAATCATATATTGGCTGATTTTGGGGTAGCCAAATTTGAGATAACCCAGTTTAGGTAGCAGCATTGGTAGGTGTATTTTACAGCTAAGAAGAGTTTATGATGAGTGTTTGAGTGCTTCAGATTCTGTTGTAACTCTCTAGTTGACCATTCTTAGTTTCTGATAAAATTATTTTTAATGTTATCTTCCTCATTTGTGATTGTTTGTGTCTCTTGAATTCTTGATTATCGTTTCTTTTTTTTTTTTTTTTTTTGAGTTTCTAATGTTTATGATACTACACTTTAGAAGGTAATGAGGATGGTATTCTATATAGACTACAATTTCTATTATATACTCGGGCCTTCTGCATTCTGAAAGAAGATCATTGTTTTAAACGTAAGCTCCTCATCTTTAACCCTACCAAGTATTATCCTGGTATGGTCATAAGATAAATTTATCAAAATATTTTTCATCAAAACTCAATACAAGTATTATCCTGGTAAACATTTTAAGAGTGAATCAACATGATGCTAACAATATTTTGGATCATTTAACCAAGAATCAAAAGATATTCCAGAAGCATATGCAATAATAAATTGAACATAGTCAGGAGCCACACCTTTTCCTTTAAAAGGAAACAATACACATACTAATATACTCCAAAATTACCTAAATTGGCCTCTATTATAAGTGTTACAATGTACGACTAACTTATTTCTTTAAACATATGATGGTCAAAGTTATATCTTGACATACGTGTTTGATCACACCGTAACACTTAAAAAACAAGATTAGTACTTGAATTATAAAAAGTTAAAAATATGAAATAGATTGGGTTAGTTGTACACTTGTACGACACACGACTTTGCAAGTCCAATTGACCAGTTGATTTTGTTTTTTTCAAATTTATTTTACAGAGTAAAATATAACGATTAGCACTACTACTACTACTACTACTATTATTATTATTATTATTATTATTATTATTATTATTATTATTATTATTATTATTATTATTATTATTATTATTATTATTATTATTATTATTATTATTATTATTATTATTATTATTCCAATCATAGGTTCGGCAGAGTAATACAAAACCAGCAGTTCGGCATTTGATCTGCTTTGAGGAGGTCCGAGCAGTGTTTTTTGCAGCTCTATGCTTCTTGATACGCACATTACTACATTAGCTTATGGAAAGGGAGTTCAACTTAACAATATTTGTTGTACATTACTACATTAGAATGCACACAAACAAGTTCTAACACCGATAAATCAAAAAAATATAATCAAATTAGACGTTCAATCTTATTAAAAAAAAACACTTGTATTATAGATAGAACAAAATTTACTTAACAATAGACGTTCCAATTGGGAAAATCACTATAATAATACGAGTAAAGTGATAAAAACATCATAACCATGAACCTAAAATTGGTGCAAAGTAACAACAATAGTTGCATAAAACTATACGAAATCATCACAGGGTTGGTACCTCAAGCCACATTAATGGAGCAAATACTCTACAATCTGATGAACCATGATAATAAGACTCAACGCGCTTATCATCTAAAGAGTAAAAACCCATATCCTTGTCCTTAAAGTTTTCATAGCCTAAAGGACAATCATCAGCAAAATAGATTGAGTTAGGTTTTCCTACCCACGAAAATCGATTCATCCTCCAAGTTGTGTACTTTCTGGAGCTCCCCAGCACCAACATCTATCTCAAATACGTCGAATGATGTGGTGTGATAGATTCTTTCTCCCAATCTTTTATGCCAACAAATAAGCAACAAGCGATCATTTGATTCAACCAAGTAGTAAACTGTACATTTTCTAAGAGTGCAGTATAGAAATGATGAACCGGGTAATTTGTAATACCCTTGGCTCAAGTCTCTAGTATCACTTTGGGATAAGATCAATCGCTCATTCCGATGACCTAATTCGTCGAATTCATAATTACATATACTTCCATTAGCATTATCAAAGCCATAGAATTTGGCAATTCTTAAATAAACACCCAGGAAAGTAATGACATCCTACAGGCGGAGTCCATTCAAGCGGAGTCCATTCATCATCGCCGTACCTCCAGAAAGAGATGATTTCTATACCCCTAAAGTACACATAAGGCTTGGTTAAAATCAGCGCGATTGTGAAGTCCGAAGTGGTAGATGGATTGCTTGACAAGCTGAATTTCTTAATGCAGTATTTATCATGAAGGGGATAATTATAGCCGCATTGCTCTTTGTCCCAGACCTTAACTACAGGAAGGTCTATTATGATACCGGACAAGGGGTTCAGGAGGCTAAGATTATTCTTACCCTTTTCACAGTGAAAAGGATAAGAATAACAACCTTCTCTCGTTGACGTTCGACAGCGGAAGACTAAGACGGTAGACTTTGCTGTTATAAAGGCTGTAAAAGCTACGTTGGTTCGAGGTTTCATCAGTCTCGGGAAGCATAAGCCATGGTACCCTAGATAGTGTTGTTGATGGTGTAGTGTTGGCTCAAAACTTCATTTGTTTGGCGGCTACGCTCCATTGAGAGCAAACGAGTCCAAGTATGTCAATCTCTTCAAAGAATGTAAAGTGTTCAGCAATTTTAGTGGCGAGATCAATAGGTAAATTACCCCAATCAGCCATTTTTTATGATGCTCAACAAAAACCCTATAGTGAAATGTACGTGCATATATAAATAAGCAGGGGCAGAGCCACTGGTTGCTGGTGGGAGGCCCATGGCCCAAATCCTGGTGCTTTAATTTTTTTTAAAAAAATTGGCCCTCTAATAGTTTTCAGCACAACCCGAAATCTAACCAACACCCGAATCACTGATTTAAATTACCACCCCTATATTGAAGTATGTAATTATGATTTACAAGTGCACAACTAGAAGGATATCTAAAAGCTAAGAATTATTCACCATTTCTAAAACCCTATTGACAAAGCTTAATGTTGAGATTTTTATTGGTTCTTGTTATATATTAAAAGTTTATTTTTCTATTCAGGCTCCTTCAATCAAACCATTTCCAGAAACTTGTTTTTGCAGAGACATCTAAAACAGAGGTACAAGTGTACAACTACCTTACCAGTAAAATTTTGAGATGGAATATCCCGGGTGTATAACAGACATATTGCCCCCGAACACATATACTTCAATAAGGGAAGATAGGGCAGAAGACTGGTTACTTCAGGATAAAAAAAAGTCCAGAATGTACCTCTACTGCGGCTCTACATCTTTCAGATGTCATACTTAAGATTTTAACTATCGAGGTCTGAGGCAGATGTATCATTGACAAGAAAAAAGAAAGCAATTAACATTATAGATTGAATTGCTGCACAGAAAATGGCCATTTGTAGCATAGCAATGTTAGGCTTAAGATCATTGGAGTAAAGATGTTCACAGAATTTAAACACAATGCAGTGAGAAGTCCAAGAGCTAAACATGAAACACATCACACATCTCAATGCAAATGTAGAGCAGTTTGAGAGCATATCAGCATACAATAGCAGAGTGATCTTCTACATCAGGTCTCAGTCCACACCGGTTGACATAGTCCAGGTACCCCTGTCACAAGAATATAAATTATCTGAAATCGTTTGCGAGAATTAAAGGGTATACTGATGATTTGATGAATATTTCAATACATAGGTTACACAACTAAAAAAAAATGAATAGCAGTGATGGGATAACTAAGCAATACAGTTTTTTGATTAATTATAAAACAGTATAAAATTTTCTAATGGCAATTGACTCGACATCAGAGATTAATATCAGCAGCAGCCTCGAGTATTTGGATATGTGATTTGCTCATGAGAATAAGATTGATGTTATAAGCAACATTACAACTCTTACCTGCAAAATTCCTACAGCGGCAAATTTGTCGAGCATAGTTTTCAGTTCCACTGGATGTAATGTTAATGGCTGCATTAATAAGTCGACATTCTGAAAACCAAAAGAAAATCATCAATCTGATCAAGAAAGTTATCCACCCATATACTTCGCATTAGCATTTTGGCTTCGATCATCCTTCAATATGTATAAAAGAGTAATTTACACATGTTCGAGTTAGGACTTCTACTGAGAAAGCTTCTAAATTGGCTATTAGTTACCTTTGATGTATAAGACTCAATCCAATATGTATATTTCACACCTTCTAGTTTACCAGTTTTGCACAGATCATCTACGAATATTTTCACTTGTGCACCCTGATCAACAAAGTGGAAAAGCATCAAACAACAAGAGTTAACTAGTCACACACACCACAATCATCTGGGGAAGAACATACATCTGGACTCGGCCGCTGTCTATCAAAAGGGAAACCAACAACAAAGCCTGATAGAGAAAACTCCGAAATCTACAAGCAAGAAGAAAAGACCTGTTAGAATAACTAATAACTTGAACCCATTGTACGTACAAAATCCTGACTTTTGTCGTAACATAATCAAACACATTATCAAGGCATGGCATTCATTACCAAACTTGTGAAATCGGCAGCCATCATTTCAATATTGAACTTCTTTCTGAGTAAAACACTGCATGAACATATTCAAGTGAAATTTCATAACAAAAGTACAGCAAAAACAAGTATCTGACTAAATTACTGTCAAAGTGCTGCAGAACAGAAATAATTTCAAATTAGCATTTTCCTTTGGCAATGCAAAGAGTGCAAAAATCAACCTTAAAGGTTTAGCAATTTTGTTATCTGGGTCTGAAACAGCAAGTCCAACATACTTATCACCAACATCCAATCCCAATAATCGACCTCTTTCGAGTGCATTCGTCGTCTTTGCTAAATCTTGAAACAAGGTCAGTGGCTTTATATACCTCATAATCACTGCAACCCCAATTAACAAGTAATATGAATCAGTACCAATGGCAAAAAAAAGTTCACTGGGGCATTTTGTCGAACACTTGGTATGCACAGCTTTATTTGAGCCCCCCAATGCAAAAACTAAAACAAATTCGAAAGGAGTTGATTAATCAATGAAAGAATATAAGACAATGATTCGATTCATTTACCTAGTTGGTCGGGTTGATTGAGTACAATTTCTGGAAAAGTTTGAATTACTGAGTATAGAGTACTTGTATACTAGTAGTATTTCAAAGGGTTGCCAAATCAAAATAGTTAACCTCCAAAATCAAATTTTTATACTACGTATTTGTTAGTCATTTTATTTTTTTCGTGATAGTATTGCATAGCTGATAGCTCAAATAACATACGTCATTATTTTGGTTTAAAAAACAAAAAAACACATATTATCTACCAAGAAAATACACTTTTATCACCAAATGACTCCAAAGATATTGATAATCTTGTCTATATAAATAAACTAAATAAACAACCACTGACATCATTATTTTTTCAAATTATACACGTGTTAAGTTGTGGTTAAAATTTTCCCCGCACAATAGTTTTTTTTTAAATATATATATATATATATATATATATATATATATATATATATATATATTTATATTATGATGAATTTATGAGTTACTATTTGGCTTCAAAATATAATTACTTCCAGTTAAAGAGTACTTCGTATTGGATAATTTACTTAAATATATAAACTCTTCTTCAAAATTAGTTAAATCTAAATAGCATTGCAATTAATGATTATGTTTTTATAATTTATCTCATACGAGAGACATATGTAAAATAAATATTTATTTCAAAGAAATTTTTTTGTCGTGCATCGCACGGGGCTCTAGTTATAATTACGAGAATGACATTGTTTATTAAGTAAATTTGTTGATTTAATTACGTTTTACCATTTGATAAACAAATTTGATAGGGGTTATAAAAATTAGGAATATATATATATATATAGGGGAGCCCAATTTCTCTTCTTAAGAAACACAAATGGCAAGAATTGTAAATGAAAGCAACTTCATTAATATTTTATTTATTTTTTGGTTGTTGACTCACTCCTCTCCCTCATTCCCTTCTCTCTCCAGCTTGCTTCGTTTGTCGCTTATCAACGTGACAACAGCGGAATCGTTACTTAGATTAGACAACAACCCACCACCACATGCAGCATAGACAAACCCCAACCCACCATCTCGACAGCCATTTTCGGTAGCTTCTTTCGGCGGTTTCCGATGGCTTTGCCGCCAAAGTCTACGAAAACCCTAAGAAAAAGTGAAGAAAGAAAGAGCATTGTTATGTTAACCCTAGAGGGTAGATGTTTTTTTAACCTCAAAAGCTGCTTCAATGGTGGAGAGAAAAGGTGCTTCAATGGAGGAGAGAAGCTGCTTCAATGGTACAACCAAAAATGTCAATAACTGTGCAAAAAGAGATTTTTTTAGAAAATTACATTTTTATCCCTGTTTTACTAGCTAAAAAGACAAGTTTATCCCCATGAAAAGCATTCCTTGTTTCTCGAGAAGAGAAACTTGGAATTACCCTATATATACATTTCGCCTTAGAAAAGTTTTTAGTTTGTCTATTATTGGCCATGTCTATAAAATTCAAGTCTATTGCCAATTTTTACAATCTTGGTTTAATTGGAGCTTTGAAGGCCTTAAAATTGAACTTGATTACTAAAAACTATGCATCATTGATTCGATTCAGGCCTTGTTTGGCAAATGGCTGTTGGCGGTTGCCTGTTGGCTGGTTCACTTGGCTTGTTTGACCAGCTGGAATGTTTGACTGTTTATAATGACCTTTGAAATTGGATGTTTAAGCTAGCTGTTTATAAAAGTGTTTGGTAAATTAATTGTTGGTTGTTGGCTGTTTATTAGATAATTTGTGGGCCAACAAGTCAAAAGCCAACGAAAAAGCTACTCAAAGCAACTTTTTCATTTTGGCTTAAAAGCTAGCTTTTTTGCTAACTAAAAAGCCAATTACCAAACACATTTTTTGGTTGTTTGACCACCTAAAAAAACCAAAAGCCAAAAGCCAAAAGCTAACCAAAAAGCCATTAAAAAGCCAATTACCAAACATGGCCTTAATGTGTATTTCTAATTATCTAATCTTAATACACGGTAATAGTCTGTATAAGTTATCGAAATTTGGCAGTAGAAACAAAAATAACAAGAAAACACGATATAGTTTGATCTATGTAGTAGAACAGTAGTATTATACAATAATAATATTAATTTGCTAAGATAAGACGAAGAGAATACAACTTTAATACTCACGTAAGTTTTATTTTACTTTTACTTTTGTTTAAGAGCGATTTTTTTTTTCTTCTTTTTAATTACACTATGTTTGGATAGACGAAAATGGAAGGAAAAGAAGGGAAGGGAAAGGAAAGGGTACAAACTCTCTTGTTTGGGTAAAGAATTGAGTGAAGGAAGGGAAAGGAGAGGGAGGAATCCATTTTTCCTCTCTCTTTAATAAGCATAATCCCTCCAAAATTGGAGAGATTTGGAGGGAAAATGAAGTTCACCTCCCCCTCCCTTTCTTTCCCCTTTTTCCTCTTCCCCTTCCTTTCCATCCTTATTTGCTATCCAAACAAAGCGTTAGTGTTAAATGCTTAAGAGTAATAGCCATTCAAACCTTTTTAACACTATGAATTTCATGTCATAGTTGAACCTCATAAGGGATTAGGGATCAGCAATTCTGCATATTCTGAATTTCATGTCATTTGCAGGGTAATAATAGATATATATCCAAATTTTTGCAACAATTTCTTTAGCAATAAATTACAAGAGAAAATAACTGAAAACAGTTACATTCATTGTTTAATAAAGTCTGCAGTTTTCAACAGAAAATTACAGGTGCAAATACAGATTTAGAGATGAGAGTAAAAGACTGGTACACACGATATAACATCTTCTCATAAAAGACTGAATTTCAGCTTCCTCAACCACATTGCCATGCCTTGTGGTTTGTACAAACATATAATGTCTCAACTACATGAAATAATGTCCTGTTTCATGGAATGCAAATAGTTAGACTCTTTGTTGCACTAAAAAAAATTTCCCGTGCTTCAATTCCAGAGAGTCAAAATGGACATGATATTTGCAAACTCCACACAAACAGATAAAAAGGAACCCAAATACAGTAAAAACCAAAGATTTATATGTATGTTGAATGACTATATTTCTATCAAGTCTGAGTAGAAAATTTTTCATGCAAGCCCAAGTTATAGGCTTATAGCTGTACCTTAGTTGGAAGAATGTGCAATGCACATACGTAGTATTTGATAAGCAAGGCAGCAATTTAGGAAATTTCCAACAGCCTTTTTATATCGTACTGCAACAAAAAAGGGCCATCAGAATAGTATAAAGTTCACTAGTTCAAGATGACATGAATCCAGAGGAAGTTTTGTTCATTGTTTGGATAGAAAAGAAGGAAGGAAAAGAAGGGGAGGGAAAATGGAGGAAGGGAAGGGAAAAGAAAGGGAGGGGGAGGTGAGCTCCATTTTCCCTCCAAATCTCTCCAATTTTGGAGAGATTATGGTTATTATAGAGAGAGGGAAAATGAACAAGAGATTATCAGTCAGTGATCCCTCTCTCTCCTTCCCCTTCCTTCCCCCAATCTTTTACCCAAACAAGAGATTTTGTCTCCCTCCATTTCTCTTCTCTTCTTTTCCTTCCATTTCTTCCTATCCAAACAAAGTGTAAATTATCAGTCAGTGAACCTCTCTTACCTCTAGGCTGAAAGGTGAAGTTGTGGGATAATATCTGCCAACGACCTGGCCATCCTTGTCAACAAGGAACTTGGCAAAATTCCATTGGATATCATCTCCGAAGATTCCCCATTTGCCCAACTTCAAGAATTGGTACAAGGGGGAAGCATTATCTCCATTGACTTCAATCTACAAGTGTAACATGCAAGACTGATAAATATTCAAGATGCTAACACCAAAACTTGTAAGAGTTTGAAGATCTTTACTGGCCTCTACCACATAATTCTCAATGAAATCATAGAAAATATTTGAAGAGGTCAAACAATGTGAACAGCCTCTCCAATTTGGACGTGGAGAAGAACATTGTAAAGTTTTTTGTAGCACACATTACTTTTATATGGAGGAGTGACTAATGAGAACTTTAAAAACATTTCTCTCGTTCCCTCCTTATTCTCACATGCTCTTCTCTTTTCTCATCTACCACTTGCAACCAGATAATTCCTAACAGAGCTACAGAAGTATCGAACTTGAAAAACTAGCGGACAGCAATTGGAGTTCATCCCAATACCACAAACTTTCTTGAACCTCCTACTACAGGATACTGATGATATCAGAACATGCAGGGTGCAGATGGATTTGTACTCAATCTATATTGGTATCTCAATGAAAGAGCCAAGAATCCTAGTCTGATGAGGATATGTTTCCATGAAATTGGGGCGATAAAATCATCATAGCAGGAGCAATTCCACATAATGGAGATGCAACACTCATGAAGTAGTTGCAAAATATCATCACTTTATTCTGAACTCAATCCTACTATAAACTAGTGAGCTATGACCAAAGCATACATTGTAAACATTTAGTTACTAATAACAATAGCTAAAATCTGAGCTCAAACCTCCTACAAGCTTGAAATGGTACGATTAAAACACTAACGGTCCAACATATATATAGGCTAGCCGCTAGCATTACAGATTCAAGTTCAAATTACTGTGTCTAGGCACTCTTAGATTTATGAACACACACAAAAAAAGGAAAACGGCATTACTTGACACAACAACAACAAAACCAAAACCTTAAATTTGCTGCCAATATAGGTTACCAGGACAATGAATTCAAACATTGTCTCTTTCACCCCGCGAAAACTACTTCAAGAGCAAGTAATATGGAACACTATCTCCACAACTTGGATGTTATAAAGAAGGCCAGTCCAAAGTCCAGACAAACAATTCAGACTAAAAGCATAAACAAAGAGACAAATATACTAATGTAATTATCAAGGGAAGAAACTATCTTGTCCTATGTCTACCTTGTCAAAGATAGGAAAATCCGACTTAAATCGAGTGCAAACGAATTCGATAATCTCATCATTGCTTCCCGGCTCCTCATCTCCGAATTGATTACATGGGAAGGCCAATATCTCAAGGCCTAAAAATACAAGATTTCCAATATTCATACATTACCATTAAACGAATTTACCCACAAAATTAACAAAAGCAATACCATAATTATAGCTATAAATTGAATTTAAATAAATAGATAATGACCTTGATCTTTGTACTTGTCATATAATTGATTTAGCTCAGTGTAATTTGAATTGGTCATTCCACTTGACAAAATTTTAACCAAAATACAGTTATTAGTAATTAATCAAACATTTACCAATCCACTAATTAGCAAAAAAACTGAATAGCATATATTGAAGTACCATTTAGAAGCAACATTAACAATCAGCAAAACTTTGCCCTTATAATCGCTTAATTTGACATCATTTCCTTTTGCATCCTACAAATAATAAGAGATTAAGCAAATTAACTTAAAATTAAAACAATTAATGAAAAAGGGTACATAAGAAAATGAAGGAAGATGAAGAAAGCGAAGACCTTGATAGTGAAATTGTAGATTGATTGTGGGGTTTCAGTGGGTTGACTTGCCATTTGACTTCAGCCTGTAAGATCAACCAAATTTATCGTCTTCGTCTTCTTCTTATTCTGTTTTTCTTTCTTAAAACATTTAAAACAAAATATAATAAATTGTGTTGGATATTTGAAAAAAATGGATCGTGGTGCTGGGTATCATGTTTTCTTGGCCCAAAGTTAGTCAAAGGCTTCTTGCCTCAAATTAGGCAAATTATAAGATGCACCATGGTGTATATAGTTCTATGTGAACCACCAATTAAAATATTATCTTTATTCTCTTTCCTCCTCTACTTTCTTAATTTCTGATTTTTCTCTCTTTTATTTTCTCTCTCCTCTATTTTCTCTCCCCTCTATTTTTCTCTCTTTTTATTTTTATTTCTATTGAATTCGTTCATCATCCTTTTAATTGAATTCTTTCATATTGTTAATCACCATAGAGTGAATTTCTTCATTACAATAGATTAAATTCAAATTTTGTTTTCTTCAACCTTCTATTTGAAGCTTTGTTAATGGAGTTTTACAATGAAGTGAAGCTAAAAATGGCGTCGTCGTCAAATAGAAGCTTTGTTAAATTCAATTTTTTTTTTTTTTGGTGTTCTGATGTTGAACATTTGACTAATTGTACAATTTAAAAACAAATTGCGAACTTAAATAATAAATTACTTACACATCTTTATCCTCTTCGGTAGGAGCAGATAATTTTGATTTTCAACCAAAAAAAATATTAATTTAAAAAAAGTCAAAAAGATTATTATATAATAGAATATAGTTTCAATTTTACAATTTGTTGAATTATATTAGCAAATTAATTAACATAAATATAGGAAAATAAAAAAAAGTTAAGTATTGTTTATTTTTTTTGAAGGTGTTTTCGTATTTTTTGTCTTTTGTCATGGTAGATTGCAGTTTTTAGAGAGGGGAAAATGGTGAGAGGAGAGAGAAAATACAAAAGAATTCATTGAGGAAGGTTTTTAATTTATGAGAGGAGAGAGATAATTTATAAAATGAAATAAAAATAGATATGACAAGTTTTTTTTTTTGAACTTAAATAGATTTGACAGTTGGAGAGAGGAGATTCTATTATTAAAAAAATAAAAATAAATAAATAAAAAATACTTTGTGGGCTTCTTTCGTTTGGGCTTCTTGTGTTGGGTGTGGATTGGGCAAGGTGCACCTATTTCTAGGTGCACCATGGTGCACATAATACTAATTGCTCAAGTTAAGACTTTGTTCTTTTAAGCTTCTAGAGTTCTAGAGCAGGACATGATTTCCACACACTGTAGGACAGAGCAGAGCAATAGAGAAGGGAATCCTTCTACTCCAAGCATTTTGTAGTTGGTGGGGCTCGAACTCGTGACCTCAAAGTCACAAGGTGAGTCCTCCACTAAGCTTTGCTTGGTACTTTATTTAAAATGATATGATTTGTTAAAAACCCTTATGTATACGACATTTGTAGGAATTTATTTTTTTCCGTGGAATCGTGGGGGTAACAACTAATAAGTCTAACGAACAATTTGAAAACATGAGAATACACAAGACTTTATTATAATTTGTTAACACATTACAAAGCTGAACTCAAACCAAATCTTGTAGACTTTGAACAAACTTATCTATATAGGAGTCCTCAAGCCCTTCCTTTGATAACAGATTCCTCAATTTAGTATGATTGTCCCTCACCTCTTTCCCTACTACACTTTCTGGCTTCATTACCATCTCAATTGCTTCAAAAACAGCTTGTTTGGTGAAAAAACCATCATCTTCTCCCTTATCTACTTCAACCCCTACTTTCAAGTCGAGGCTCATCATTCTTGCATTCACAAACTGATCTATAGCTTGAGGTATCAGCACTAATTGACACTCACTTAACATGGCTTCGGTTAATGATCCCGCCCCACAATGTGTCACGAAACACCCTACCGATGGATGCTGCAAGATCAATTGTTGTTGCACCCAACCACTATGAATTATTCCTCGCCCTTTGATTTTTTCCATGTATCCTTCCGGCAAGGCTTGCTCAATTGTTTCACATCCGCTAGGTGGTCGTAATGCTGCTAAAAATGGCCTACCTACATATATATATAAAAAAATTTGTTAAAATAAAAGTTTGTTTTAGTGGTTGGGCATAAAGTATATATGAAGTGTAACTTTGTTTCTCAATAGATGTATCATATTAATTATACAAGTTCGCTAACATGCATACTATTTGGAGATTTTGATCAATAATGTTTTTATTTATAATTTGGTATAAATATGTTACCTAGTATATAAGAAAAATATAGTTTAAAGCATACAATGAGACTAATTGAACAATTACTAAAATATACGAAGTATAATATTTTCATGTGCTCGATTATTACATGTGGTCAAAGTTGGTACAAATATAGTGTAAAATCTTAATGATGCATCAATTTTATCACTTTGCTTTATATTTGGAAGCTATGTAGAGGAGGACTAATGGTATTACCTAGTATTATATACTACGTAGATGATAAGATGATATACTAGTAAAACATAAATAAATCATGTGATAATTGTAAGTATGTATAGTACTAGTAAAACATGTCCCTAGCCATCATCCCCCCACAGGCCAGAGGTTGGGGGTTCGATCCTCACCTCCCATTCCTGTGATAAGGTGGAAGGACCGCCCGGATGTTACTGTACTAAAAAAAAAAAGACAAAGTGACAAGCTACATAATTTAACATACATACCAGTGAGTTCAAGTCCATAAACAAGCTCTTGAAACTGATCTTTTCCAAGAACACATTCACTCCCAAGTGCACAATAAACCACGGTACCATGACCAAAACCGTTGAGCCAACCATCGAAGTAGTCATCGAGCCTAGACGTGGGTGGTTCGGGCATCATTGGTCCCACTAAAAGAAATGGTTTAATCAACTTGTTCTCATAAAAATCATAATAAGCCCCTTCAATCTCCCTACAAGTCTTACTCGCTATTAAATCACATTCTTCAAAACATTTTGTTTTTCTTTCCACCAATGTCATCCCTCCCCCAAATACCATTTGACACATGTACGCAAAGGTGCGGGCCTCTTGGGCCCGCATCCTTATGACAGGACATGGAAAACCAGGAGGCGGACTCATCAAGTCCGCCTCCGTATACTTATGCTTATCAGGAAGGTTTCGGGCTTGGAGGTTACAATAAGCCATATTTGCCATGTATGAAGTATAATAATATATGGATTTGATTGAGTATTTCCGGGCCACACTAGGGACCCATTCAGTGAAGTCGAAAAAGATGTAATCGGGCTTGAGATGTGAAAGATGGGAATCAATATCAGGTCGAGTCAAGTCCATGGCATCCATGAGGCTAGGCCGAGCTTGGGCGGAGACATCATTGGTTGTCTCCGCCCCAGCAGGGAGTCCATGGACCGAGGGGACACTGATGGGGATGAATGTTATGAGGTTGGGATGACGGTTATGAGAGGCTAATTTGGTTTGAGTTTTTGTAGGGAGAAAAAATGACACTTTGTGACCTCTTTCAGCTAATTTGTTGGCTAAGTGAAGGAAAGAAGTAAGGTGTCCAAAGGCAAACCAAGGGTACATTGCCATATGCAAAGTCTTGCCATTGTTATTGTTTGATGATGACATTTTTGTTTGTTGAATTATTTTATGATGTTAATATTGTGATAGTCCGTATATATAGTCCGTATATTTGTTAATTGATCCCATTAATTATTTACGTCGATAATTAATGGGATCAATAACCTATAATCTTTAGTCTTTACTAGCCAAAAAGATGAACACATATACCTTGACGACAACAGGAAGAACTCATGCGTTGCACGAGGTTTTGTATCCATGGTGCATGCGCAGCACGAGGGTGAAGTTGATACGCATAATTCATATAAAAGCATCTAAAGGTGTAATTGAATTGGATTCATATGCATTGGAACGATTTTCGATAAGTGGCAATTGCAGAAAGTGAAGAATTTGTCCTGTCGATCAGAGTTTGTATTATGAAGTTTTATAAAGTTAGTTTTATATATGGAGGCAAAGAGAAAGTTGTTATTGGATATGGGCCCAACTTTCATGGCCTAATGAATTAGTGGTGTATTTATGTTCTAAAAGTTTCACAACATGATTAGTACTACTAGTGTTTGATTTTTCTATATTAATTTACAAAGTACAAGCTTGTATGATAAAAGCTCCTTGACTTGTGAATGATATTATAGCTACAAGGATGATAATTTAACTCTACAATATTCTAGCTATTTCTTTTAGTTAACCACTGTCTACAACTATATACATAGAGGAATTAAACATTTCTTAGGGTATTTACCAAAAGTAAGTCACCAATCTCTACAAAATACAAATCCGCTTTCTATTGCATCTTCCTATTGAAAGTTGAGATTTATATTTTCACCCTCTTATACTCTCATAATTCATAAGAGTGGATTTTACATTAAAGAGAAAAACATTGAAAAATATATGGCAACAATTATAAATAAACGATCATAAATAGTATATTGGTTAAATAAAATTCTAAATGATTAGTGTTAGGAAATATGACTAATAGCAATTAAAATAATGCTCAATAGAAAGAAGGTTATCAAAATTAACTTTGAGAGAGGATATATTACCATTTTTTTTTTGGCGTGTGTTTTAAAATGAAAAAAAAAAAATGTTTATATAGTATTTGTGTGTAAATCGGATACAACAAATCTGGTAACGAATGAGAGTGAACCTGATACAATGAATTTAGTCACTAATTAGATCAAAAATGGCTAACATTTAATTAAATAATTCAATTAATCTAAAAGTCAGACTAAATGAGCATAAAATAAGAAATTGTATTGCCTTAATTTAGGGAGTTATAAGAAATAATTTGACAAAGGAGAAATTAACTCTTTTGAATCACAATTTATTTGGAGTTTTTTTTACCTAAACTCCAACAATTATTAGATATGTTTAAGATAAAAATGGGTTGGAATGGTATCAATTTCAAAATTGGTTGCGATGAATTGATAACAAAATTGATGCATTGATACGTATTGCGGTTGTCATGCAGTAGTATTTTTTTTTAATAAAATTTATATTTTTTTAATTTATTTTTATGAAAATCTAATATCATATTATATCTATTTACAAATAAAAGTAAAAAATAGGTTAGAATTCATGTAGGTTAGATGCAATCAGGCCACGAGACATCAACACTTGGATTCCAGTTTTTCGCCAAATGTCAAGCCACGTAGGCGACAAATAGGTATTATTGTGACACATAGGTTACCAAGTAAGTAAATCTTGGATTGATTTTAAGATAAAAATGTTGTATGATATTTTTATTATTTATATACTTCTAATATTTCATACTCTCTCCGTCCCTTAGTTATATGCCTATTTCTCTTTATTATGTGAGTAATTAATGAAAGAAATAGACCTATAATTATGGGGACGAAGGGAGTATATACAAAATTAATTATAACTTTTAATATATATCTTATAACTCAGTACTATTTCCTTCATAAAATTCATTTTAAAAAGTTCTTTAAAATGAGAACCACATATACTATATTTTAATAAGATAGAAAATCAATAAAATATAGTTTTAATAAGAAATAAAAAATAATTTTAGTTTGGTAAAAAGGCTTTTAGTTCATTAGAAATAATTTAAGTGCAATAAAAAAAAAAAACAAGTTAATGATAACATTATATCTATGTACAAATAAAACTAAAAAACTACACTATTATATAAATGTAAGTATTGTATGTCTAAATATTTTACAATATCAAAAGAGTATGATCTTATTTAACATTCAAGCTAAAAAGTTTAGGACAATTCTGGCATCGCCCGAGCACAAAACTAGTCACTAATAAATAAAGTAGCTAGGTCTCGCAACCAGACCACGAGACAACTACACATGACCGTACATTTTAGTTTTTTTCGCTAAGTATAAGGCCTAAATGCGAAAAATAAATATTATTGTGATTAGATTAGATGCCACATTAGATTAGATTGGATAGATTTGTTTAGGATAAACAAGTATATGTAATTAAAATTATTTACTTTTGAAAAAAAATTATTTTTTTTTGTTGAGAATAGAATTTTACTTATAGCAACACACAACATATTATTAATGATTTATAACTCCATTTGTTAGTGGTATTCGGTAATCATCACCGAGCATGTATCGATGACTATGATGAAACATTCATCCCAATGGCCAAGATGACTACAATTTGTGCTTTTCTTGCAATAGCAGCTTCTAAGAATTGGGAATTGCATCAAAAGGATGTTCATAATGCTTTCTTGCATGGTGACCTAGATGAGGAGGTCTACATGAAATTACCTTCTGTTTTGAGAGTTCGGATCCATCTTTGGTGTGTCGTCGCTTGCGTAAATCGTTGTATACTTGTATGGATTGAAACAAGCCCCTAGATGTTGGTTTGCAAAGTTGGTGTTGGCTTTGAAAGGATATGGTTTTCTTCAATCTTATTTAGATTATTCTCTTTTCATATTAAATAAAGGCAATGTCCAAATTAATGTCTTAGTCTATGTTGATGATCTTATTATCTCTGGAAATGATTCTGCTGCACTTACAATTTTTAAAGCCTATCTTTGTGACTGTTTTAAAATGGAAGATCTAGGAGGTCTCAAGTATTTTTGGGAACTGAGATTGCTCGTAGCTCATTTGGTTTATTTTATATTAACACAAGTGTACATTGGATATTATTTCGAAAATAGGATTGTTGGTTTTCCAATCGAGCAAATTAAATTAACAAGCTCGCCCGTGCCACATTGCCACTAGTGAAGTGGTGATTTCCTAAAATATCCCAAAGCTTATCGTCGACATGTGGGGCGTTTGATATATCTTGAGGTCACTCGGCCGGATTTAGCCTACTCGGTGTATATCTTATCTCAATTCATGCAAGAGACACGAATTGAACATTGGGAAGCAACTCTTCGAGTGGTGCATTATTTGAAAGACACTCTAGGTCAGGGCATTTTGTTGCGTGCAGATAGTGAGTTGACTTTAGAAGGATGGTGTAATTCATATTTGCCAGCTTGCCCTTTTACTCGTCGCTCCTTGATAGAGTGGCTTGTTTTTATAGGGTTAGCCCCTATTTCTTAGAAGACAAAGAAGCAACATACAATATTTAAATCTTCCGCGGAGGCAGAATATCATGGTAGCTATCACTTGAATTAAAATGGTTAGGTTTTTAATGAAGTTTGGGTGTGCAACATCCAAAGGCTATAAAATTGAATTTTCCCTGCACGGGTACATACAGACTTATAGCAATCGACCTCTAGAGTTACACGACTCAAAATCTTTGATATACTAGGAGAGTTAGATTGAAAACACATTCGAATAATGCTCATTAGAAAGAAGGTCAAAAAAATTAACTTTGAGATAGTATATATTACCACTTTTTTTTTTTTTTTAAAGGAACAAAAACATATGTTTATATAATATTTGAGTGTAAATCATATACAACGAATCTGGTAACGAATGAGAGTGAACCAGATACAATGAATTTAGTCACTAATTAGACCAAAAATGACTAGCATATCATTGAATCCTTCTATAATCCTTAAATATAAATTTTGATTTCTTTCCAATTTCTTCAAATCTGCCTATGTAACATGGTATCAGAGCTTGCATCGATATGACACTATAAGAATCAGGTCAAATAACGACGGACCAGTTCTGATGGACCTGAAAATCCGTCGGAAATATCGATTTTTCCGACGGATTTAATTTCCGTCGGACAATTCCGACGAATTAAAAAATTCCGTCGGAAATTTCCGACGGAACATAAATCCGTCGGAATAATTGGACATTCCGACGGAATATTCCGTCGGAGAAGGTAATTTTTGACGGAAAAATCCGTCGGAACATATACTATAAAAAAAAGGAAAAAAAAATCGGAGTATTTAACCTCTAACCCTAAACCTTCTATCCGCCACTTTTTTTTCCCCTCACTTCTCTTTCCTCTTTTTTCTTTCTCCTTAACCCTCCTCCTTTCCTTTCTTCTCTTTCTCTCTCCTCATCCCCTCCGTCCGCCCTTTTCTTGTCTTCTCTTTCCTCTCTTTCTCTCTCATCCCTCCTCCTTTCCTCTCCTCTTTCACCCCCTACCACCACCAACAACAACAACACCATAAAGACCAAGCAACAACAACGAAGACGACTACAACAACACCGGCGACCACAACAAGAACGACGACCAAAACAAGAACGGCGACCACGTACATGCGCATAGATCTAGTTAATTTTTTATGAAATTGTAATGTTAATTTATAAATTTTATTAGATGATTGTATAATTATATATTTCCTTTAATTTTTGTGGTTTAATTATCGTTTTTTTTAAAATTTTCTTTATGAAATTCTTGCTAAATATGTAGATCTATTGGTTTTGATTTATTTGTGTGGTGTTTTTCGATTTTTTTGTCTCAATTTTCGTATTTTTGGGTTGATTTTCGATTATTGGGGTTATTTTCAGTTTTTTTTTTTGCTAAGTTTTGTGTTTTTTGGGGTTTATTTTTGGTGTGGTGGTGTTTAAAGGTGGGAAGGGGCTAGGGTGGGTGTCGGTGGCGGTGTTTGAAGGTGGATTAGTGGCTGCTGTACTGTGGGTGTCGGTGGTGTCGATGGTGGTGTTTAATGGTGGGATAGGGGCTGCGGTGGGTGTCGGTGCTGATGTTTGAAGGTGGGATCGGGGCTATAGTGTGGTGGTGGTTGGTGTCGGTGCGCAGTGGGGTCTAGTGGTGCGGGGTGGTTGCTGGTGATGTGGGCTGGTGGTGGGGTGGTGGGAGGCGTTTTTTTTTTATAAATAAGTTTCCGACGGAATTTCCGTCGCAACATACCGACAGAACTCAGTCCGTCGGAAACTTGCGACGGTCTTTCTCGGGCCTGAAAATATTTTCCGGCGGACTGAATTCCGTTGGAAATTCCGTCGGAATAGTGTTTTCGACGGAAATTCCGTCGTAAAACGCCCATTTTCCTACAAAATGTTTTTCGACAACTAGTTCTGACGGAATTCCGTCGAAAACGAGTTTTTCGACGGAAATTTTCCGTCGTTATTTGGCTGTTTTCTAGTAGTGTGCGTTGTAATATGCAGCCAGATCACTAGACATCGACACTTGGCATTCCAATTTTTCGTCAAATGTCGAGTCACGTAGGCGACAAATATTTGAACAAGTCTAACAAACGATTTGAAAACACGAGACTTTATTATGATACATTACAAAGCCGAACTCAAACCAAATCTTGTAGACTTTGAACAAACTTATCGATATAGGAGTCCTCAAGCCCTTCCTTTGATAACAGATTTCTCAATTTAGTATGATTGTCCCTCACCTCTTTCCCTACTACACTTTCTGGCTTCATTACCATCTCAATTGCTTCGAAAACGGTTTGTTTGGTGAAAAATCCATCATCTTCTCCCTTATCTACTTCAACCCCTACTTTCAAGTCGAGGCTCATCATTCTTGCATTCACAAATTGATCTACTGCTTGAGGTATCAACACTAATTGACACTCACTTAAAATGGCTTCGGATAATGATCCCGCCCCACAATGTGTCACGAAACACCCTACGGAAGGATGGTGCAAGATCAGTTGTTGTTGCACCCAACCACTATGAATTATTCCTCGACCTTTGACTTTTTCCATGTATCCTTCCGGCAAGGCTTGCTCAATTGTTTCGCATCCGCTAGGTGGTCGTAATGCTGCTAAAAATGGCCTACCTACATGTATAATAAAAATTTTTGTTAAAAAAATAGTACGGAGTAAGACAGTAGCTAGTTTATTTAATTACTCCGAGTAATTATTGATAAATTACATTAATCCCGCCTACATCTCCAATATTATTTAATAATTAAACTACTTCTAGTTTGCTACCATATTATTTCAATAAACCAATCAGTTTTAGAAAATATTTTGGGAACAACTATATCAAATTCTTATTTTCGAAGGAAATTTTTCTAATGACATGTATGTAGATCCTAAATAATGTATGTAGTTGTTGACTAATTCCAAGCAAGCAAATTATTTTACTAGTCATGTACGAAATAAGAGTATGAAATTATTATGTACATACGTAGTATATAGTTTTTTCAAAAACACGCAATATACATACCAGTGAGTTCAAGCCCCAAAACAAGCTCTTGAAATTGATCCATCTTAAGAACACATTCACTTCCAAGTGCACAATACAAGACTCTACCATGACCAAAACCCTTTAACCAACAATCCAAGGAATCATCAAGCTTAGACGACGGCGGTTCAGGCACCATAGGTCCCGTTAGAAGTACTGGTTTATTAATTTGTTTCTTAATGAAATCACAATAAGGTCCTTCCATCTCCCAACTAGTCTTGGAACCAACAACATCACATTCTCTAAAACTTGTTGCATTTTTTTGTAACAAGGGAACCCCTCCAAATTCAATTGAACATATATATGCCAACTCACGGGCCTCACGGGGTCTTAATGTTATAGCCGAGCATGGAAAACCTGGTGGTGGTTCGACCAAATCAGCCTCCTTGAAGCAGTACTTAGGTGGTAATTTACGAGCCATTGGGCTAAGATAAGCAAAACTAACCGCGTACATAGTTGAATAATATACAGACTTTACAGAGTGCTTCCGAGCCATATCTGGTAACCACTCAGTAAAGTCAAAAAAGATGAAGTCCGGCTTTAAAAGACCAAGTTTTGAATCAATATCAGGCCGAGTCAAGTTCATGGCGTCCATAATGAGTGGATAGGACGAAGAAGACACATCATTGGTTGTCTCGGCCCCAAAAGGTAACCCGTCAACATGTGGGACATTAATAGGTATAAAGGTAATGAGATTGGGATGATGGTTATGGATGGAAAGTTTAGGTTGGGTTTTGGTAGGAAGAAAAAATGAGATTTTGTGACCTCTTTGTGCAAATTTGTTAGCTAAGTGAAGAAAATATGTAAGATGTCCAAAAGCAAACCAAGGATACATTGCTATGTGCAAACATTCATTGGTTTCGTTAATCTTTGACATTTTTCCTTGAAATTTTTTTATTTTGTTGCTTGGAAAAGGTGGTTAAGGATATATTTCATATATAAAACCCATTTTTTTTGAAGCAAATATAATTTGAATAATAATGGAGTATGAAATTATACGAAAAGATATGCGTATCTCAATGATTAATTCACTTGATTAATTAAAAAGTTTGGACCTCAGCACTGACGTAGACATGTTCTTATTCCTTGAAACAGTCCATAATTTTCTAATTAGGTAAAAGAATAATAAGAATATTCCTCATATTCAAACAACATATTGCAAGTTCCTTAATGAATACATTCACCTTAAACATCAACTATGCAATATTGTGAGTATTAAAGGGCATACCTCAAGTTATGTTTCATCATGTTCCAAAATCAATTTAAGATGGACTGAAATTTGATGGCTAAGTTACGAGTTCCTTAAGGATTAGTTCTATCTTCTTGATGCACTCACATCTGATGCAAACAATCACTTTTGACTTGAAACTCATTAAGTGACTTTGATGTCGCTGGCCATCTTTCTTTGGAAGTTCCTTGTCGTATTTTTGTCGATTAGACCACCATGCCTTTCTCTGGATGCAGATCCAAAGAGAAATTGAGTTCTCCATCATGATTTTACAAGGTTAGAAAGCCCTTGCTGAAACAATATAAGTATGTACAACTAATAAATTAATAAGTTCCTCTTAAAAATAAAACAATTAACTTTCAGATTAGCTTCAAAAAGGGAACTTGAATAATCTCCTATGCCATTGAATATGATCCTGCTTCAACACTTAAGGAGCTTTGTTAGGTTCATAAATATGGAAAAAAGATTTAGGATTTTCAAATCCTAAAGGTTGTTCCTCATAGACATCCTTAATTAGAATATTTAGGAAATTCATATTAGACATCTATTAAAAACAACTTGATTCCCCTGTAAGCACGCATCAAAATAAATGATATGCAATCAACTCATTATCTAGCTATAAAAATACGAACCTGATCTGACTAAGTTCCTTGATGTAGGATCTATGCTCATATATATTCATAAACACTTATCAAATGATTTTTGGTGTTCCTGAATAAGTTCATGGTTCCGTACCTTAGCTAATTCCTTTACACCTTATTCAAAGGCTTCATGTGTTCCTTGGTCAAGATATGCTCTAAGTTCCTTTAAGGAACCAATACTTTATGATACGTTGGAGCTTAAGGAACTACATGACAATGTAGCTGATTGATGCTGCTTTATAGAGTGACATACTTATGTAGAAATTCCACTAGTTTCAAAGGAACTAATGAGTTCTACACTAAATTCTCTTAAACCTGCATGCTGGGAATAAACATGTTAGATTCATAAAATTTATAGTCACTCAATGCACATTAATACCTTGTTGTAACATGTACATGTTTCACACGTGGAGGTGCACCATAAGAACACCACCTTACTACTTCTGTTATCAAACTTCCCTTTTCAAATGAAGGGTGTCTTGTTTCTCCAAGGTCTAACCATTTCCTTGTATATGATGCAACAAGTAGCATTGATAACTTTGTAGTGATTTCAACATTGAGAGCTTGTAATCAACACTTTATTCCTGCACAAATCATTAAACTTCAAAGGAACTTGGTTCCATGGTTAGACCTGTAATATAACATTTGATTACTACTTAATCACTTAATCCCTCATAGAAAAGATAACAAAAATATAATCTTTGTTACATTCTAAGGTAAGTGATTGAATAACATTTATCAAATATAACCAAGACATATCTCTTTCAATCCCAACTTTAAAAGGATTCACACAAATCCAATTGAATGAGGTCCAATAGGTTTGTGTTCCTTATCATTATTTAGCTTGAAAGAAGATAAATTAGACAAAATCACTGACTTTTCATACTTCACAAACTTATGGTAAGGAACTTGATATAAGATAAAGTAACAACCAAGTTCCTTGACGTTTATCAAGTATGGAAAACCAGCAAGTCAAATATATGTTCGAAACACAGAAGAATTCATTTTCAAAAAATTCTTGAAATGTTAGGTTATTGTAAGGAACCAAATTGTGACCCTCATACATAGTATGAGTTCCTTCTTTGATTCCCTTTCAATATGACACTTCTAGTTTTATAGATGAAGAACGATTATTGGTAAAACAAATAAAGTTACAAAACTTTGAAAATATCGTAATGTGCTTCATGATCTCAAAAGAATGTTCACAATGGAGAAGGAACTTAACTTACCAACCTTTTAAGTTAATACCAAAACTTGAATTGAAGTTCCTCCATCGTAGGCCACTAACTTTTTTCGTGCCTTCCATCATATGTTAGGAGCACCCAATGTCGAGATACCATGAGTTGTTCTCCCTCACTAGATATCGTCTTTCTCTTCATGTTCCTCTTGATCTCTTAAACTGTAACATATTCTTTTGGTTTCCATGAACATTTTTAATCATATTGTGCAATGCTATGATCAGTAGGTTAGTCCAAGATATATAATAACTTAAACATGATAATAATACCAAATCACAAGAAATCTTTTGTTTTGGAATTCAAAAATAGAAAACAAGACAGTAACTTTGTTCATTTGACTCTTTAACATCTTAAATTAATATCATACCAGGCAGTTCCCTGTACCATTCATATAGTTCCTGCATCTTGAATTCACTAAACTAATACTAACAGACCTTAGGTATAACTCCTTAGGTCTATGAGACTAGCTATCATGCATTGTTAATTATTAAATCAAGATATAAAGCCTACATATAATTTTAAATTTAACTGCACAAAAATCACGAAGAAATTATTAAGTTTATCATCATATTAACAAAATAGACAACATGAGTTAATCATAAGAAAAAGAATAAGTAGTTGAAAATATAATATCCTTACTCACATCACACAAGAAAAAATTCCTATAAAATGCTTAAGGGAACTTCTATTAATATATAGTTCATAAGGGTTGAATCGTTGATATGTATTACAATCTTCGAAAGGAAATAACCTGTTGGTGGAACTGAAACTTATTCAATATTGTAAGTATCACCGGGCGTTAGTTCCTCTTCCTTATTTCAACGAATCAAATAGGTTTTCATCTCTTTCTTTCTCACGGTAAATTTGATGTTGACCATTGCTTCAAATGTTGTCTCAATCATGATTTATAAACCTGTAAATCATCTCTTCTACAATCTTCTACAATCATGCATTAGTGATCTTACAAAAAAATGATGTAGCATAATTGAAAATATTAACTTATATCACTGTTTATATATAATATGATCAAGATTTAAAAAATGTAAAAGTGACTTGCACATTTACCTGTACAAACAAATGTCACCTTCCCATTTCTCTAATGAAGAATATCAATGAGAGGAACTTGTACAATTTTCTTAAGAGCCAGCATCTCAATAATCATGTGTTGGTTCCTCTTATATACAGTACATATGTCGTACATCTTGTTCTTTGGAACCCAAGATAAATTGAGTTCCTTCTTGTTCGTAACAGTAGCCAAAAATTAATATAACTACTTCTACAACCAAGAAACAACATATATCTATATAATATATATTCAAATCATTCAAGATACATGGAAAAACTATTTTTCTGACATATATTCAAAATTTTCGTATACTACCAAGTCAGAAAAATAAAGTTCCTTTTGATAGGAATCCAAGTTTGTTGTTCCACAAGATGTGTTCCTTGAACTACTTCTAATCAATCAATTCGTTATGAATAAATAATCAAACATGAAATCTAACATACTGACTTTTAACCACACTAAAAATCAGAATAGACATTATCCAAATTTGATGGAAAATATTCATAAGAATTAAAATCATATTAACAAAAATACTACAAGGAACAAGCTTAAACTAATGTATGCATACAATGAAGAACTCAAAGACAGAATACTTACCTCAAAAGTATGAGTCTTTGAATACCTTTCACTTCTCCAGTAAACGTTAATCTCCACATGATGCTTGGAACAACGAAGGGCTGAGTTCCTTTCTTCAATTTTCTTGTACGCACTCATCTTAGCCAAGAACTTACTCGTCAGGGTTTCCTGCTTCATCAAGAGCTCTGGCTCTGATACCAATTGTTATTTAGATGAAATACTACAAGAGGGGAGGTGAATTGTAGTATGGAGGTTTCTAGTCACTTTTTGCGGAAATAAAAGAAACTAAACGAAAGTAGAGAAATAGTGCAAGAGAGATTTTACGAGAAAAACTTCCTAGGCAAAATAGGAAGTGAAAAACCTTGACCCCAAGGGATTTTGGCTCAAAATATTCCACTAAAATAGGCCGATGACTCTGTTACAACCTATAAGGAACTTAAGCCTTTATCGAGTTCCTCAATGAACCCGAGTTCCCCAATCAACTAATCCCTCAATCAGTTGATCACTTTAACTCTCTCTCTCTAACTTAAGACTTCACTCAAAGCCTAACTCGATCTTTCTCTTTCTCTCAAACTTCACTCAAAGCTTTCTCTTTCTCTCAATATAAAGAACTCACTCAAGTTCTCACCCCAATACAAGAGTTCACTCAACCCTCATAAATTCCCCATTACAAGAGTTCACTAAAACCCTTTAACAACTCTCAAATACATATGAAAGATGTACTATATAAAACTAATATGTTGGACACTTTGAGACTTATAAGGAACTTGGAACCTAAAGGAACTGACTCAAAAACGTGGAGAGAAAATATAATTCTTTTCTGCTGCTCTTCCACTTGAGATATACGCTAATTTGGAATGACTCACTAAAGTCAGACAAATTAAAACTAAAACTTAACTCTCCTTTTATAGCATGCATAAGACTTGACCACTACTCCCACTAAATCCTCCACTAACAATCAGTTCCCTTATTTTTAGGTAACTGCCAATTACTTGGGTAGTAGAGAAACGTGATAACGTGGTAGTCAAAGTCTTATACACAACGTTGAACGTGGAGTAAAATCAGGAAAACTGATTTCTTGGAGAGAAGATAAAGTAAGCAGTTAAAATCTTATTTGATGAAAAATATATTTTTATAAAATAATATTTAAGATATTTATTTTCAAAAACAAAATAAAATCTTTTTGTAAAATAATATCAAAGATTTATTTTCCAAAAACAGTAAAAATCTTTTTCGAAGACTAATTTTATCACATTTAAAAACTTTAACTTTTTAAAGAAAAATAACTAAATATAAACTCATTCATTAAAAGAACGTTACTTATTTTTCTTTAACTGGCCCATAAGGAACTGACTGGTCACTTAGTTCCTTCCAAGTTGTCATACTCAGTTCCTTCTAGACTAAAGCTCCCATTTAGTTCCTTAGGCTTGTTCCAAACAATTTCTCTTGTCCAACATACTTACATGATTCTTAGAAAAATATACTCCTATATTTCTGTCATTTTCATGTTTTTCTGATGAAGCTTCTACTCCAAAGCTTCTAGTTCCTTCAAAGGAACTTCTCTTTGTTTGTTCCATTGAGGAACTGCTGCTTGTTCCCTTCGTCGAAGAACCAACTTCTAGTGCTTCTTAGGAGCTGCATATAAAGTCTAAAAGAACGTTTGAACATTTAGACTTCTTCTCTTTGTGTTACCTCGAGGAACTCTTCTTTTTGTGTTCCCCCGAGGAACTCTTCTTCTCTTTATGTTCCCTTGAGGAACTCTTCTCTTTGTGTTCCCCCTGAGGAACTCTTCTTTTTGTGTTTCCCTGAGGAACTCTTCTTCTTTTGTTCCCCTGAGGAACTCAAGCACGATTCATACTTTGTAATATTCAATAATGAACTAATTTGTAATCAACATTCTTCATGCTTCATGGCTTGTTCATGCTCATCTCAATACACATATTAGTTAGATAATCATCATTTGTTGAAGTATGGCATGAGCATATATACATATTCTTTTCTTAAATAATTGTCAAAGTGTGGTTTCTTGTACACATTACAATAAATTAAATTATATACGTCTAAGTGTAATGTGTCACACTTAATTATTGTGCTATAAAAGGCATATTCACTTGCCTAAAAGTGTCAAAGGTCTCGTTGAGAACTGTGGATGTTGTCAAAAATAAAAATCCTAAGTTGCCAAAGGAACAATGGAAGAAACTTTGATGGAATAAGACAGGTACATTCCCAAACTATTTTATCTCATATGGTTATATATTCTAGAGGCAACAAACCTATCTTTTTGCCAACTTTCAAATTATCCACACCATTCATCTTCGAAAACAACATTATTCTACAACATTATGCTGTGTGTCCGTGTTGTGTTATGGTTTGTGCTTCTCATTTTCATATCTTACATATACATAAATTTGATGATCCTTATTCTCATTATGTTTTCCTTAGCTCATTCATATCTTCCCACTTTATTTTCACACAACCCATGTGCTCTAAGTTAAAATTCATCCCTTTTTATGGTTCAATGATACATGAAGAGTTGGATGAATACATGTTGAGGGGGAAGTTGTGAAAGGATTGAAGTGCTTGTGATTTATCATTTGATGTCTTGGAGGAAGAATCAGCTTGAGGAATTTCTAAAATAAATTCCAAGATGAAAAAGAATGATAAGGAACTAAGGTGAAATAAGGAGGAACCAATTAAAGTGGTTCATATATTTGGTGTTGAAACTCAATAGTATATGAGTAAGTTCTATCTTCATTATTGTACGTGAATGAAAAAAAAAAATTTGAAAGTCGCCAAAAAAAAAATAGAAGGGTAATTATTAGATGATGAAGGATTTTATTCATGAAGTTTGAGAAAGCTAAGGAACAGAAGGAGATATTGGAAGAACTTGATTATGAATCTAAATTCAAGTTTCACATGTTCCTTAAGGAAGGTTGGTGGTTGAAGTGAAGGGAACTTGGTAAGTACATATATACCAAGGTAATTATGTGTGTTGTGTTCGTTGCACATTTAAGAGTGTGAGATGAAGATCATTAAACTCTTATGATTGTTAAGAACCTTATTATCTCAATCTTTCTAAGCTAAGAGCATAACATTTGTCTCAAGTTTCTTCTACTCAAAATATTTCCATTATCTCTTCTTTCGTATCTTTTGAGCTAAATTTTCATTATCCTTTTCTCTAACAAACTTTTTAAAACCGATCTGTATCTTATCTGTCAAGTTCCTTCATTGGTTTTGAAGT